TACTCATGGTGGATTTACTTGTCTTAGGATATTCTGACATCCACCTTCTCTCTATAAAGAGTGTGAAATAAATCAGTTGCATCCAAACTGGCCACACTATCATTCTCAGAACTAACCTTTCCAGCTGAGAGCTGGTGGCTAATGCCTATAATCCCTGAACTACTCAGAAGACAGAGAGCTGAGGTCAGTTTGAAGCCGATTCCGGTGGGAAAGTCTGTGAAACTGGTATCTCCCATTAATCACCAAAAGCCAGAAGTGGAGCTGTGGCTCAAGTGGTAAAGTCTTGAGCAAACTAAGGGCCAGAGCCTAAGCCCTGAGTTCAAGCCCCACTATCAGAATATACGCATATACACAGAGAAAAGGCAACCTTTCCAGTACCATTGTTTCCCACCAGTTGTTTCAAAGACCCTGGAAGGGCTTTTACAGAGAATCATTCTCTTGCAACTGCCACAGTGAGAGTTTGTCTCATCTTGTTCCCAACACAGTATCTCACTCTTATCATCCTCCTTTTGTAAATTGGAGCTAATTGTGAAAAATAAGAGGATAAAAGTCATTTGGCAGGTCAGGAATTTTTCCATTCCCATACCCAGGAAATAATGCAACTAAGCTCTCCAAATAAATGAGTACTTAAGCTGGACCCAATCATCCTCTTCTAAGGCCATCTATTTTTACTTATTTAGCAGACCTCCTGGGTCACAGGGCTGCAAACACACTAGGAAGATAGTTTATTTTTCAAATATGTTTGCTTATTCCTGAGGAGGTGCACAAAAAGTGTTTGAGTACTTTTTTATTTCCCTCTTTGAATTTTTCTTAGAATGGAATTTATATCTCAAGTTCCCAGTTTCTTTTAATAATAATTTCACGATGATTTCCGTAAGTATATAGTTCAGTTAAAAAATGTCTCAGGGTTGGGAATGTGGCTTAGTGGTAAAGTTTGCCTAGCATGCATGAAGCTCTGGGTTTGGTTCCTCAGTACCACATGCACAGAAAAAGCTGGAAGTGATGCTGTGGCTCAAGTGGTAGATAGAGTGTTAGCCTTGAGCAAAAAAAGGAAGCTCAGGGACAGTGGCTAGGCCCTGAGTTCAAGCCCCAGGACTGGCAAAAAAAATGTTTCAGCCAGGATACAGTTGTTTACATTTCAAGCATTCACGATAAAGACCCATCATTCCTTTGACATTTTTAAACAAGTTTTGCCTTGTCTGACTTCAATAAGAATTTGAGATTACTGGCCTATTCTTCTAAAAGATCACCTGACTACAATTGCTGATACACACATAACAATCTTTTTTTATTCGAGTGTTGAAATTATATGATAAAATACATCCATATGTCCATATGTCCCTGGTACTTATGAAAGATAATAAAATCCATAAAGAAATTCATTTTGAAGTAAAATAAAAGCAATAGCATAATTGATATTTTGGAGAAAACAACAGTCTTTGGAGAAAAAACATGTTGTAATAAAAATTTCTGAGTTATCTAAAATATTGCAATAAATTGGATTTATAATGACTATTTTCTAGAATGTCCAGTTCTGGTCAGGAGATAAAGCTCAGTCACTGAACTGTGTTAGACACAATGTCCTTTGAACCCATTAAGGGCAGTAGAGATGAGCTAATGGTTACAGGTGGGGAAGCTGAACCCCTGCCAAGAACAAGGTGTTCCAATAAGCAAAGGCCAGCTCCACCTGAGTTAAGAAAACACTTATGGGATGGTTAGGCAGAAGCCTGAGGCAAAGGCAACAGAACTAAATAAGAGCAGAAGGCTAGGTAATGTTTGGGCAAAACTGGAACAAAGGCAAGAAAATCCTAGTGGAATACATAGGAGAGGAAAAAGCAGTTGGGAAGATAAGTCCAAAAAAGGAACAGCAGTCAAATGAAGGCTAGCCCCTTCCATCTCAAACAAGGAAGGTTAAGTGATTAGTACAACACTTTTAGAACTGATCAGATTCCCAGTTCCCGTGTGGGAAGCTGGAAATGTTTCTCTTGTCTACTTCTCCTTGCTTTATTCTGTTATACTAAGATAAATCCTTGCTATTCAATAAAAGAAAAAATAGAACTGATTTTTTAGCTTAAAAGATTTTTAATTAAAAAAAAAAACGGGGTACAATAGCATTACAACTGTAAAACCCACCAAATTCTAGAAAACAAGTTTATCTGTAATTTGAGGTAATTTGGCTTTGGCATCAATATATGGTCAGGACTCATCTCTAAAATTTTATTATTTTTATTTGTATTTTTATTTAGTATAACTATGTTTGCATGCTGGGTAATCATTTAGGTTCAAAACTCATGAATTCTAAAATATATCTGAACCAAGAGTTGTGAATAAAAGATTCAATCAGCTATTTCTACATATTATTTTTATCAATCTTCATGATCAAGTTTGGTACAGGGCATATAAATTAGCAAAGGCTGAAAAAAATCATATAACATTCCTCTTTGGAGAAAGATTGTACTTACAGAAATAACTGTGGTCTGAAGGGGAGATTCATTGATACATCTGATGCTAGACAGAATGTCAAGAACTAAACATAATACTTCAAACATTTATATTACACATATATATTATTGACAAAACATACAAAGAAGCTTGAAAGATCAAAAACTAAACCCAGCTAACCACAGCTTAATCAATTGATGAATCATATACAAATATACTAGTTTAAACCACAAATACATAGCAAATAATTAGTCTATATATGAAATTCAAAGAAAACACTTTAAAGAAATTTTACAGCCCTCCTCCCCCTCCATTTAAGGACATTTAAGGAGGGATGTGACACCAGCTTCTAAAAGCAACAGTGCCTAGGACTGCAGAAAGACTAAACTTTGCCCTGGCTGAGCTTTCTACTGTCCTTGTTTTGACATTGCTGCTAACAGTTTACAGGAATGGACTATACTACCAGAATGAAGAAATTTAACCTTGAGCCGAGATTTTTGTAAATCAGTTGGCTGACTTACTAATTAAACATCATATATTTTCCCAGCAACACTTGTTTGACCGATAAATAGCAAAGATAACTTCTCATGGACATCTAACACTTTCACAAATTTTTGTTTCTAATTTTTAATATACGTAGCTTTAAATATATAGTACCTGACTGCTAACAATGCCCCCCAAGATCTATTAGAACCATGCAAATGTGGCATGTTACTGCCACCTTATTATAGAAAGAATGGTCAAATCTGAATTACTATCTATCACCTATTGGGAATATACATGTCTGTGTGTGAATGAATGGAAGAAATTATACTGAGAAAATAACATGTATTCCTGTCACTTCTTCTTCTTTTTTTCTTTTCTTTTCTTTTTTTTTTTTTTTGTTGGTAGTGGGGCTTGAACTCTGGGCCTGGGTGCTGTCCCTCAGCTCTTCAGCTCAAGGCAAGCATGCTACCGCTTGAACCACAGAGCCACTTCTGGTTTTCTAGTGGTTTATAGGAGATCGGACTTTCCTGCCCGGGCTGGCTTTGAACCATGATCCTCAGATCTCAGCCTCCTGAGTAGCTAGGATTACAGGTGTGATCCATCGGCGCCCAACACCTCTGCTTCTTTTTAATGATAACTGGAAACATGTTCTTGACCTTATAACACAATTAATTGCAGATTAAATGAGCATTATCATAGAAGATGAACCAAGTAAAGAGAGAGGGTTAGAGTAAATGTACCTATTTAAGATGTTTGAATGCTAGCTCCAGATTTAAATTCAAAACAGGCTTACATGAGCCCTGATTACTATAAAACCTTTTCAACAGTATCTCCCCTTATACAATTAATTATACAATTTTAAAAATTCTTACAAAAAGAGTGAACTTCACTAAGGTCCACAAAGATAGGAATCACACACAGTAGCAATAGGGGAAAGCTTTGTACACTCTTCTTATATTGCTTTTGTTGGACTTTACCTAATTTAAACCTTGAGGATGATACATCTATGAGAAAACAAAAATTATTACTGAATATTGTAGAAAATCACCGCCCACACTTACATGTTAAATTAGAAAATAACTTTCCAGAAAAAAAATTAACTTGAAATTAAAGAGAACATTCTTTTTTTTCCTATCAAAATAACATACCTCCCTGAAATGTGTGACAAATGTAATCCCCAAAAGAAATCTCTTTCCACAGTCCAGGCCATTTGATATTTCCAGAAACTTCAAAATTCTTCTCACTTTTCCCAGTTAATGGAAGCATTTTGATGCTTCGTCTTGGGTAAGACCGCTGATGTCTAGTGTTTTCCGAGTTGTCTAGTGTATTAGAATCACAAAACATAAGTCTATTTTGAAAGAGAATCCTGGGTGTAAATTGAAACAGACACTAAATAAGGAATGATGTAACCCTGGAACCTCTACAAACACTAAAAATACATATGGAAATTCTTAACTGTTTATGAATAAATATTAAGCAACAATTCCAGCAGCAACAGGGGTATCTGACACATTTACTTTTGCAGCATCTCACAATTAAGGTGTATTGGTTCTTGAAAGAAATGCAGACTAATCTCTAAATGCTACTTTAAGATGTTTTACTCAAAACTTGGCATTTCTAAGGTTATTCACTTGGTTTGTGATGCTTTGCCAGAGCCATGTACAAGTAGGTTTAGTAAAAAGTTTTTTTTCTGACAGTGACAATCATTTACAAATGATAAAACTATCATGTCACATTTGGTACTTACTACTTTATCCTGAGAAACACTACCTTGTTAGACTGCTCTTTTTATTGTTAGTTTGACTAAAAGACTAAGCAAAATAATGTTATGTAATTAATTCTTTTAGCCAACAGAAATGAAGTTTCTCATAATGCTCTTTTAAAAGCCACTATTTCTTTCTTAAATAATAACTTGTAAAAGTAAAGCTGAAAATCTTCCACAAGCTGATGTAGCCAACATCACCCATTCAAAACCTAAGTATAAATAAAGTCTATCTTTTTAAAACACTGCTAATATGAATCATCTAGGAAGTTTTTTTAAGTACTGGGAATAAATTCATGTATTTTTTTACCTGAAATTCCACCATAGATCTCTTCTGCTATTCTAGCTGCTTCTTTTCTATTTCCTTTGACGATATAGAAATGGGTAAGGAGAGCCAAAAAAACTTTAATTAAAAGCTTGAAGAAAAAAAAAGTAGCAAACATAGTAATAAAAATGTTTTTGAAGCCATAGAAAACAGGACCATCTTCCATTTTGGCTTATGCTCTGTATAGATCCTTAGGACTGCAAAATTTCACTGAGTTATAATTGGTATCATATGACATCTATTTTAAACCTCGCAACACTCAGTGCTCCTGTTACCAAGAACTCAGTTTGTAGGTTCTAATCTAACTCTGATTTGGCAGCTGAAAGTGTTGACAACCATTGCAATGTTATCCTTTCCTTCTAGCTAGAAACACTCGGTAGTTCTAAACTATATTTCAGTACTAATCAACAAATCGTGTTCACATCTTAACCTTTTTTTAAAAAAACCTCTGAAACCCCTATTTTGGGTATATTTTAAAAGGCAGGGTTAGAAAAAGAAAATGAAACATATTTCTGAACGCATAGGAACAAAGCAAGTTCTTTGGCATCCATACAAACAAGTTTTACTATACCCAGAATTCGTTGTGGGAAATATATTCTCTCTTCACTATGAGGCTTATGAAAGATTGAGCCCAATTCTATAATATGACCAGTTAAAAATATTATTTAATATCCAGTCACTGGTGGCTCACGCCTATAATCCTAGCTCCATAGAAGGCTGAGATGTGAGTGAGGATTGTGGTTTGAAGCCAGCTAGGGCAAGAAAGTCCATTAGACTTTTCTCTCCACTTAAGTGCAGAAAAAGCCAGAAGTGGTGCTGTGGCTCATGTGGTAGAGTGCTAGCCTTAAGTAAAAGGAGCTTGGGAGAGTGCCCAGGCCCATATTTCAAGCCCCAGGACTGGCAAAATAAAGTATTATTCTAGGCAGCATCTAATAAAAGGCTTGATTCCCCTCCCAAGTGAGAGAGTGACGGACACAGAAGGTATTAGAAGGACTTCCTGTGACAGTTTCATCCATGACAAGGTCCCACAGCTAGGATCCTTCACAATCAATCACTGGCTTTCATTTTCAAGCATCGGTAAAGATGGTGGCTCTCTGGAAAATGTGGGCTATCCTCGATCATAGCAGAGTGATAACGAAGTGGATGAAACAGCCAAAGATTCCATAAATCAATATTTCCCCTAGATGGACAATATTCTCTTACCAGTGCGCCAACATAAATGAAATTAATTAATCTTTACTCTTCCTCACCAGTAGATGTCTCTTCTTTCATTCTTGGCTATATTAAATTTTCTAAATTTTGAAAATTTTAATGAAATGTAGGCCAAAGGAAAATTGTGAGTGCAAACTAAACAAATCCTAACATTTCATACAAAAATATGGGAGCTTCTACACTCAGGCAAACTAGAATGACTACATCTACCTAAAAACTGTTTTATCAACTATTAAGAAGGCTAATGAAAGCCAGACACTAGTAGATTCTGCCTGTAATCCTACTCAGGAGGCTGATACCTGAGGATCCAAGTTTGAAGCCAGCTCAAGCAGGAAAGTCCATGAAACTCTTATCTCGAATCAAACTACTCAGAAAAAGCTGGGAGTGGAGCTGCAGCTCACAAGTAGAGCCTTAGCCTTCTGCAAAAAGAAGCTCAGGGAAGAAGCACCTAGGCCTCTCATTCAAGCCCCCGGGACCAGCACACACTCAAAAAAAGATGGCTGATTGAGGAGTTGCGGGGGGGGGGGGGGGAGGTGTAAGAAGAGACAAATGGAGAGAGGAAGGGTAGACAAATGCAGTTATAAATACTCAAATGTACATATGTGAAAACGGGACAGGTTGAGGGGGGTGGGTGGTGTTGGGAGAAATAGGAGAGAATGATGCATTTTACTCATTAACTGACATGTTGAAGTGAACCCCCTTTGTACAACTATTTAAAGATAATTTTTAAAAGAAGGCTGACACATGGAAATAGTGTGAGCCATGAGATAGTCTGCCTATTTCACAGTATTGAAGCACTATAAAGACTGTTTCTACTCACAAGGGACAGATAATAACCTATGAAGTTTCTTTCTCTCTTCCTTCCTTCCTTTTTTTTTTTTCCATTGGTTGGTGGTAGGGCCTGAACTCTGGGCCTGGGCACTGTCCCTGAGCTCTTCAGCTCAAGGCTAGTGCTCTACCACTTGAGCCACAGCGCAGCTTTTGGTTTTCTGAGTGGTTTATTGGAGATAAGAGTCTCAGGGACTTTCCGGCCTGGGCTGGCTTTGAACTGTGATCCTCAGATCTCAGCCTCCTGAGTAGCTAGGATTACAGGCCTGAGCCAAAAGCGCCCAGCCCTTCCTTCCATTTTTCCTTCCTTCCTTCCTTTCCTTTTTTTTTGTGCCTGAAATGGATCTTGATCTCAAGGCCTCCACTGCTTGGCCTTTTTGCTCAAGATTGGCACTTGAGCCACTCCTCTGGTTCCAGCTTATTTGGAGATAGGAATCTTGAGGATTTGTCTTCTGGGGCTGACTTCGAACCACAACCCTCGGGTCTCAGTCTCCTAAGTAGCTGGGATTATAGGTATGTGCATGCATGTAAAGTTTCTTTACCAGGCTTATCTAGTAGAACACCAATTTAGGAAAACACATAAATGCAAATATCTTACCTTTTTATTATCATTCTTCAATTATACTGTAAAAGGGTGACTATTAGCTCATGTTGATCAGTGATACAAATTGCTTTATACTATTCAATCATTCTTTGGTCTTAGTTTTCATTTGAAATATGGCTATCCTATGCTATACATACCAAAAAGTTGCTTTAGATGGGTAGCAAGGGTATTTGTGAGATACCATCTTTATGTTTGAACATTATATTTTAGATGGACATGAGAAAGGTTACTGATGTTATCAGCATAGTTGTCTAATATTATTTTTCACAGATAAAAGAATCAATAGTACCTGAGCTTCTCAGCATCCAGCACTATTGACATTTGGGGCCAGATAATTCTGTTGTAGGGAAGTATCAACACTGTAAAATGCTTAGCAGCAACCCTGATCAGTATCTACTCAATACCAATACCATACTCATCCAGTTCCAGATACAGAGAGATCTTCCTTGGGGGAAAAATCCCCTCCCTACTCCCAGTTAAACCTACTGAGCCACAGATTAATATAAATGATGAAGACTAGAATACTGTAGAATATAATACTGTAGAATACAAATCAAATTCTACATTGGGCTTTAATTTGCATAACTGTATGTATTTTGGGCATTTAGTAACATTCTTTTGGGAATGAAGAGACAGAGCCCCTTCAATATATCTCAAAAAGTGACCATCTCCATAATCCCAGTTACTAAGGAAGTGGAGGCAGGAGGGTTATGAATTCAAAGCAAAGTTAGTGAGACCCTATCTCAAATGCCAAATAAAAACAAAAAGATTGGGGCATAGCTCAAGTGGTAGAATGCCCGTCTAGCCTCTGCAAGGCAGTGAGTTAACTCCCAGAACTACAAGAGATTAAAAAAAAGAAAAAAAAAACACCAGCAGGGCACTGGTGGCTCATGCCTGTAATCCTAGCTAATCAGGAGGCTGAGATCTGAGGATCACCGTTCAAAGCTAGCCCAGGCAGGAAAGACTGTGAGACTCTTATCTCCAACAAACCACTAGAAAACCGAAAGTCCAGAAGTGGCGCTGTGGCTCAAGCGGTAGAGCACTAGCCTTGAGCTGAAGAGCTCAGGGACAGCGCCCAGGCCGAGTTCAAGCCCCACAAAAAAAAAAAAAAAAAACCTTGCCAAAGCAAAGCACATGCCAGACCTATGTTAAAAATAAATTCTGTGTAAGCGAAATCAAAACCTAGGAATAATGGTTGCTAACTAAGGGACTAAGAAAGCTGGATATCTGTAAATAAAGTCAAAATCCAATTGCTCTTAAAATATCTAGCAAGGTACAAAGTATAATCATGTATTAATCATCTGTCTTATGTGATAACTCTGCTGCAATAAGAAACAAGGACTACTTTGGACCAGGAAATAAATATCTAATGAAACTTAGTTATTTCTTGAGTTACAAAATATATATTCTTGAAATAAAAAATGACCAAGGTTTTTCATCTGAAGGATATTTGCATTTTACTAACAGATCAAGCAACACATTAAATTATACTGAAAAAAAAGAAGGGACAAGGGAGGGGGATGTCCTTTCACTAGAAACTAATATTCTGTCCACAGAACAAGACCAACTCAAAAACTGTCAAAATGTCATTCTCATCTTTATTTCTGGTCATGAAGCAAGTTTCAACAAACCAATTTTGTATATGTACAACTGTTTGTATCATCAAAAGAAATACAATATATTTTTAATAAACCCCTCATCAATGTTCAGTTCACTTAAATAAACATTAAGTACAAGTGTAGAACAATGTGTTTCCACATACTGACCAGTGCAACACTGACAGTTACATCTAAGGTATCCAGGAAGCCTGAAAAATATCTCTGTAAGACTTCCACCATTTGTTCTAAGAAAAATAATTTTAATGTGTAAATCACACATCTTACATGCAAACACAATTAATTTTCACCTTAAATAAATGACACTGTTAAAGAATTAAACGACAATTTGGAAAAAGTTAACAAGAGAGAAGATAAACAGTGTGCTTCTAAAAACTGCTAAATAGAATAAATAAAACCAAATGTTAACCATTTCTCACCCTACCATGAATATTGGCACTGTTTATGTCACTATTTGAATGTTAGTCTCAATACATAAAAATTCTAATGGGACTGAATGGTTTCTTATCAGTCCATTTTTCTGCAGCAAAAGAATCCCTAAAAGTTGCACTACTGCATTTGTGTTTTCATATAAACAAAACACAAATGCATCTCTTTCCTATCAGTGGCAACCAGGGAATAGGTATGTTAAGATACTTTTGAAAAAGTCAAAAGCTTTGTGAATGCTGCTATTTAGAAAAAATCTTGTAGAGAATCATAATACTGACAGAATCAATCTAGTGCACCCAAGGGTGCCTCCCGGTGCCTTCACAGTCTTCTGCTCAAAAAATTATTCTAGATTTGAAAAGATTACTAATACACACCATGTAGATAACCTGGGGTTCAAAAACCCATGGCTCTGGGAAACACCATAACAAATATCCACCCACAGAGACTGTGTTCCTAACATTTTCACACTCAGTTCACTATAAATGAAGCATTCTAGAGTAACGTCTTTTTTTTTTTTTTTTGCACACTGACAATACTTAGCAGACATCAGCTAGGCCACAGTGGAGGGTAGTGACAGATATCAAAAGGACGGGGTAGCAGCTGGTTTTGAGATGGCACACCTCGTACATTCTGTTCAGAAAACACGAAGGCAGTTTAAAAGGCCTAAATTACGCACTGAAACAGGTGCAGGAATTTCCTGCACTATCAACAGTGATATCGGTCCCTAAAATTTACAAAACAAAATTCTCTTCAGAAATACCACTAAAGACAAAAGCTCTATTTAGGAGAAAGGATACAACAGGATCAAAGGAGTACTCCTGGCATTTCAAGCATGAACATTTTTGGCATGTTGGGTATTTTACCATTTCGTGTCAACTGTGACTACAATGAAGTAAGCCATTCCAATAATAAAGAACAAATGCATCCCTGGTCCTTCATGGCAGGAACTATCTAGCTCAACATATTACACAAAGCAGGTGCTTAATACACACCACCTTACTCAAGAAACCTACCAGTTGGATGTAACACTTACTGAGTGGCCCCAATAAATGTTTAGGAGCATAATCAAAATGTCTAATTAATGTATATGAACATGACTTTAAAAAGTAGTTCACATAATTGTTGTACCTCTCTAAAGAAAACTTGTAAACATCTGGTAAATGTCTATAATTAATGGTAGAACATTAAAAAACTGGCCAAAAAATGCCCAGAAACGTTTGGCCCTTCAGCACCCAAAGCTCCCAAAATAGAAGGTTAAAACATCTCTGCTAGAGGGATTTCAGTACTCTGAAATTTGTCATACCTGAGTGGCTTAACTAGTTTCTCCTAAATTCTAAAGAAGTGCAAGGAGTTTCAACACTCAGGAATTGCATATGGTTTTATCTTTCCTCAAAATAAAACATTGAGTGATATAGAGGTAGCATAACTGACAAAATTAAGTGTAAAACGGATAAACAAACAAACAAAAACAAGGTTATTTTCAACCATCTTAATAGAAGTATTACAAATGTGTACAACTGTAAGAGCCAGGCTGTCTTCTACCTGGTTTTAGACTCCTTCTCTCTCTCACTCCCTTTTTTACTGAGAGGAAACTGATGAGTCCATGCTCCCCCTGGCCCAGTGGCATTTACTGCAACATCAATGATAGAATCCGGAGTTATCCATCTCAGGACAATGAGGAAGAGATAGTTGAATACAGCCAGCAATGCAAAAATGTAGCCTGTTACTGGGCCGCAGTGGGTGATGAGCCTGCCCAGTCGCTTGTCCATTGGAAACACAGCTTCTCCTGCCACCCTCTCATATACCTGGAGGAGAGAAGGCCAAACATGAGTGCTCTGAGCCATCGCACTCCTATGACAAATGTCCGTGTCTGAGAAATACATGCAGACAGAACTCACTCATGTTTGCTGTTGTCATTATAATAATGATACCCTTATTGAACTTAACCATGCTAATCACTGCCATTTAGCTCAATGCTTATCACACTACCTTATTCTGGGCAAAAGAAAAAAAAAAACCTGGGCTACTTGGTGTGCTATATAAGCTACAGTTCTTCTCTCCTTAGAGATTTCCATCTATTACAGCCAAGTACTAGAATAGCAAAGTCTGATTGGCTTGTCAGATCACCATTACAGGGGTCATATTTAATTCAGTAGTTAACTTCAGCAGTGCTCCAGCAAAACTGGCCTTTCCAAATGGCTTGAATGGGCCTGGGAATGTGACTTAGTGGTAGAGTGCTTGCCTAGCATGCATGAAGCCCTGGGTTCAATTCCTCAGTACCACATAAACAGAAAAAGCCAGAAGCGGTGCTGTGGCTCAAGTGGTAGAGTGCTAGCCTTGAGCAAAAGAAGCTCAGGGGCAGTGCCCAGGCCCTGAGTTCAAGACCCAGGACTGACAAAAAAAAAAAAGCAAATAGATTGAATGAGCAAAGAAAACTGTCACCAGCACAATCACGCACAATAAGATGACTACAATCTATTTGGCTTCTGGGGAGATGCTACTGAGCATGGAGGCTCAAACTATACAGAAACACTTCATAGATTACACACAAAAAGGAGAGAATGCCCAAACATGGCAATATAGGTCAAATGTTGGGCAAAAAAATCAAGCTTACTGCTGAAAATTGGCAGATGACCTGCTGAGCACAAGACTCTAAAATATTAAAAAACAAAAGTCTTTAATCCTACTTGCTTACAACACATCAAATGGACCAGCATTGCTGTTGTTTCTTTTTAATAGTATTTGAAGATTACTTGTGCTGCTGAGTCTCATGTTAGGCTTATAGACTATCTCCTTCTGAATTCAAGGAAGTTTCAGCATGCACTGCAAATTTTGTAGATCAGTGACCTCTGAAAGGTACAGGATGTTTTCATCTAGTTCTTCTACCCTGAAGATATTTAAGATACAAACATTGTGAATCAGAATGATGTTGAAGATCATGTGGAGCCTGATGAATTATGCTTACAGCATGAACTCCAATTTAAGTTTGTCAATTTTCTAAGTAACACATTAAACTAAGAGGAGTTGAAAAAGACCAAAATGCCCTAGAGTTTAAGACCAACTCCAACTAACTTGTGCATTTTAAGAGATATAATAATGGACTACTATGAACAGAAAGTGATGATTTGTTACCATTGAGGATTTACTGTTTTCAAAATATAGACTATAAACTGCCAGAATATCAAATCAAAAACTTTTTACTAGTACTTTAAATTATTGCTTTAAAACACAACTAAGAGAAAAGAAATGGCTATAAAAATCCTACTTAACTTTTAATCCAGGGTATTATCACCAAAAGAACCCTGTCCAGCCCAATACTTAAGGCAATAATAATCCAATTTTGACCTCTATTCCTCAAGTGTTACACCAGAATCTCGAGAGTGGTTGAAAGACAAGGAGATAGGAAGATGGAGTTTACAGAGGCTGAAGAGCCTACCCAGTTGATTCTGACATGCATCCCCACAGGTAATCAGTGCTAGAATCGAAATTCCAAAGGAAAAGTTTAGCTACTTATTGCATATGGGGAGAGACACTAGAAGACTTCTTAATAGTCAGTCTCTCATAGACACTGTAGTCAAAAATAATTTGCCTCAGCTGGGTGTCAGAGGCTCACACCTATAATCTCAGCTACTCTGAAGGCTCAGATCTGAGAATGGCAGTTCGAAGTCAGCCGGGACAGGAAAGTCCCCGTGAGACTCTTATCTCCAATTAACCACTCAAAAACCTGAAGGGGCACTGTGGCTCAAGTGGTAGAGTGCTAGTCTTGAGCACACAGAGGCTCTGGGACACCGCCCAGGCCCTGAGTTCAAGCCCCACAACCAAGAAAAAAATAATAATTTGCCCCCCAAGTCCCCCTTTTTAATGGAAATATTGTATCTTCACTTTTAGATAAGAAGATTTTGAACTTAAATTCAAATATAGGTTCATCATGTGTACTGGAACTTTTTAATAAGTAAGCCTACAGTAAAGAAAATGTACTCGTTGGGGCTGGGAAGGTGGCTCAGTGGTAGAGCGCTTGCCTTGCATGCCTGAGGCCCTGGGTTCGATTCCTCAGCACCACATAAGCAAAAAGAAAAAAGCTGGAAGTGGCGCTGTGGCTTAAGTGGTAGAGTGCTAGCCTTGAGCTGAAGAGCTGAGGGACAGTACTCAGGCCCAGAGTTCAGACCCCACGACTGGACCCCCCCCCCAAAAAAAAGAAAGAAAATGTACTTGTTATCTTGCCCATGTAATTGTAACTCCTCTGTACAGTATTCTCACAATAAAAAAAAAAGGCCCAGAAAAACACACACACACATTCTCACAAAAAAAGACCCAGAAACGCGCACACACACACACACACGCGCGCGCGCGAGATTCTTTCCTCGGCTCTAACTTGATTCCTACTCCAGGCTAGAAACTCATTCCTCCACTGAATAGACAGACAGACAGACAGACCACACACACACACACACACACACACACACACACACACACACACACACACACACACACACACACACACACACACACACACACACACACACACACACACACACACACACACACGAGAAATTCTCTCCTTGGCTCTAACTTGATTCCTACTCCAGGCTAGAAACTCATTTGATTCCTACTCTAGGCTAGAAACTCATTCCTCCACTGAATAGACAGACAGACAGACCACACACACACACACACACACACACACACACACACACACACACACACACACACACACACACACACACACACACACACACACACACACACACACACACACACACACACACACACACACACACACACACACACACACACACACACACGAGAAATTCTCTCCTTGGCTCTAACTTGATTCCTACTCCAGGCTAGAAACTCATTCCTCCACTGAATAGACAGACAGACAGACAGACAGACAGACAGACAGACAGACAGACCCCCCCCCCCCACACGAGAAATTCTCTCCTTGGCTCTAACTTGATTCCTACTCCAGGCCAGAAACTCATTCCTCCACTGAATAGACAGACAGACAGACAGACAGACCACACACACACACACACACACACACACACACACACACACACACACACACACACACACACACACACACACACACACACACACACACACACACACACACACACGAGAAATTCTCTCCTTGGCTCTAACTTGATTCCTACTCCAGGCTAGAAACTCATTCCTCCACTGAATAGACAGACAGACAGACAGACAGACAGACAGACAGACAGACAGACCCCCCCCACACACACACACACACACGAGAAATTCTCTCCTTGGCTCTAACTTGATTCCTACTCCAGGCCAGAAACTCATTCCTCCACTGAATAGACAGACAGACAGACAGAACACACACACACACACACACACACACACACACACACACACACACACACACACACACACACACACACACACACACACACACACACACACACACACACACACACACACACACACACACACACACACGAGAAATTCTCTCCTTGGCTCTAACTTGATTCCTACTCCAGGCTAGAAACTCATTCCTCCACTGAATAGACAGACAGACAGACAGACAGACAGACAGACAGACAGACAGACAGACAGACAGACAGACCCCCCCCCACACACACACACACGAGAAATTCTCTCCTTGGCTCTAACTTGATTCCTACTCCAGGCTAGAAACTCATTCCTCCACTGAATAGACTGGTAGTATAATACATTATTCTAAACTACAGCCTTCTCCAGGCTCCATGTGACTGTCTTTCTGTTCAACATTCCTATGTACTAAGAGTAACTGACTTATTTTCATTCAGCTTGTTATGTAGTGACAAGAGGCATGAGGCTAAAAAAGAAGGAACTAAAGGATGAGAACGAGGGAGAAAGAATGAGGTCTCTAAGCCAAAATCAAGCAGCATTTTCTACAACCTCACTTTCCTGCCGTACAGGAAATCTATATCTGTACATGTCCTTTTGAAAATCATCTATTACTGCTTTTTATTTATGATCACATTCATACTTTTTTCACAGACACTTTGAATTCTAACCTGGTCTCACTCAACTCAAAGATGCAAAAAAGCTTTTTTTTCAGAAAGGCATGGTAGTTAGCAAAAGTGCCTCCAGAGTTTTGACAAATAGCTTGAATTAAATACTTACAAGTTATAAAGTTACTGCAATAACCAATACCATGTATTTATCTTATCAGTCATGGGTCTTGAACACAGGGCCTGGGCACTATACCTGAATTTTTTCGCTCAAGGCGAGCACTCTAGCTCTTGGAGTCACAGGGCCACTTCCAGTTTTCTAATGGTTAATTGGAGATGTCTCAGACTTTCCTGCCTGGGATGGCTTCAAACTTGGGATCCTAAGATCTTAGCCTCCTGAGTAGCTAGGATTTCAGGCATGAAACACTAATGCCCAGCTTCCACGTATTTATTAATGGGCCTATATGTTTTAGAATTATAAACAGCCTCAACAAAATTTAAGGGCAGATTTTAATACCAGTTTTGCCTCTAAATGCTATGCTTTCTAGACAATTTTATAACTTCCTAATACCCAATTTAATGAGGGGACTAGACTGTATTACTAGTTTAAGATGTCAGGTACAAGAGTTTGACTAGAAACATTAGCCTAATATATGTGCCAAAAGTAATCCATGATTGATTTCTTTTTATTTGGAAGAAAACTTATAAACTAAATCCAAAATTCAAAGGCTGCCAGGCCTGGTAGCTCAATCCTGCAATCCCAGTATAAAGGACACACAGGTAGGAGGACCACAGTCCCAGACTAACACGAACAAAAAAGTACAAGATCCTTTCTGAAAAATAGCTAAAGCTAAAAGGGATGGGCATGACTCAAATGGTAGAATGCCTGTCTAGCAAGTATAAGGCACTGAGTTTAAAACCTCCCAGTACTATCTAAACACAAGTAACAGGAAATAGCCAACTTCTAGAGGAGAGAAAACAATGTGTGTGAAAAATCAAATGGGAGTTGAGACACAATCATTCCTCAGCATGTCACATACTTTTTCCGTTCTCTCAGCAACATTCCTCCAGGTGTAGAAAGTCTTCACTATGTTATGGATCTGTTCTGGAGACAGCAATGTGCCTGACTTCAGCTGGAAAATAGCTTTTTCCAACCCTTCACACAGAGATTTGACTGAAGGCTCACATAAAATAATAAGATTTTCTGGGAGCACCTCAGGAATTCCACCAACCTTGGTACTTACGACCTTCAAAAGAAAAAAACCAACAAACAAATGAACACATGATCCACCATAATCATACCTCAAGGAAATCAATGAGACCAAGTTTAAAAATTACTGTGGGTGTCACGATTTTATTTTAAAATTCAAATACAGAACCCCAACCATGTAAGCCCTTTTTACCTGTAAACCACAACTGGCTGCTTCCACAATCGCCATGCAGAATGCTTCAGTAAGGGAGGTATTAAGAAAAATGTGTCCTTGAACTAAGACGTTTCTAACATCCTTGTGCTCTAAAGCTCCCAAAAGACGTACCCTGTTTTTTTTTTTCAAATGAGAGGCAAGGAAAGATGTGAAAAATCATTCTACAAAAGACATTTAATTTCCAAATCCAATTTCCTATTTATATTATCCTAAGCTTTTACTGATGCCCAACATATTCCACCTGAAAAGATAAGCATCAGACACTATTATAAGAGAATTAAAATATATACAATTATTTCTTCATTTTGTGTGAATGTACTGGTACTGGGGCTTGAAGCCAGGGCCTGGGCACTTTTTGCTCAAGGCTGGTGCCCTAGCACCTGTGCCATAGTTCTACTTCTGGCTTTTGCTGTGTAATTGGCAATAAGAGTCTCACAAATTTTTCTGCCTAAGCTGGCTTCAATCGGGGATCCTCAGATCTCAGCATTCTGAGTGGCTAGGATTACAAGCATGAGCCAGTGGTGACTGGTCACATAGGTCTAACTTTTGTTACATATGCTAGATTTCACCTTCTCCTAAACTAATTTGCAGTTAATGAAAATATTAATATACTTTCATGATTAATGTTAAAGTATCATTTCTGAACAGGAAAATGGGCCTTTTAAAATTGACACTTCATACCTTCAAGTGTTATCTAAATTATGAAGACCTGTCCAAACATGTAGCATACAGCAATTTATAGATATGTGCATGCTATTTAAATCACAACTCTATATGGCATGAAGTTCGTAAACTTTTTTAATTAAATGTAGTAGGTAGGTTGTTTAGTGCCTTTCACCGTTCTTCCTCTAACTGTTCCCCAAAATCAAATAAATGCTGGGATAATGGAAAAAATGTGAATTCTTTTAACTGTTCTCACCTGAATTCTATTTTCATCTCCCTTATGTGTAGGAGAAACAACATATCTAAGGCAAAACATGAAGTAAAACTAACTATACACAACTGCTGTCTTTTCACCTCTGATAGTATGTAAGCCACTGATACCTGTCATGCAGCTGGTATCTTTCCCGTACTTCTTCCAGAATGATTCTCTTTGGTCCCTCTCCTCCAATTATGAAATTTAAATCTGGATATTTCTGACAGAGTTCAGGTATTATGCCACTAAGCAAATCGGTCCCTAAAAACATAAAGCTGAATGTTAGCAATATTAATATTTAAACTTTAAAAAAAAATATCGGAATTAAGAAGAATGCACTCACTTGTTTAAAAAAGAATCAGCGTCATCAGTTCTGCCCTCTTTTAAGCAGACAAATCATCTCTCTTAAAACTTTTCCTGGAAGAGTAGGATCATCTACAAAATGCCAGTGACCCTTAACAGCTGCAACTTTTTTTGAGACAGAATTTTACTATACAGCCCAAGCTCGCCTCAAAGTGCTAAGATGACAGCCATGGGCCACCAGTTTGAATTACAGTTTTTGAAGATACAAACTTGATATGCATTGTCAAGTATTATGTATCTTCCACGTACCCAAACAATTCTCTTTCAACATACTTGTTTTTAAGTTATTCACTTGTACACATCACCTATTTCTAGAACAGATACCTAAAGAGGTCTAAGGTTTCACTGGTTTTCTCCAAAGTACACAGCGTCTCACTACAAATCTAGGTGTTGTCCTAAGCTTTTTTTGTTCTGTTTTATTAACCAGTGAACCCTTTAATCTTGGTAAAGTCTCCTGGATCTACTAAATGCAGAGACCTATGTACCTAAAGTCCAAAGTTTTTCTCTGCTATAAAATTTCTATTAGTCTATAATTCTATTTCCTGCCATAGGAAAGGGCTATGCAACAAAGTCTAACTGCTGCCTCTACTTTGTTCAAAATGCAGTTTGTACAGAAAATTTTGCAATGAATACTACAGTATTAGCATAATTTAAATAGTGATTCAAACCAGCATTCGCCCATTTCCCCAGAATGGGAATAACTCAGAGCAGCAGGAACTCAACTGTCAGCTCACTATCATCCCTAGGATAAAAGGATGAATACTGGTTCCTCTAAAAAAAATTAAAAGGATTTTTTCTTATAATTTGTAAATGGGACCTCAAGAAATATAAAGAAGATAAATCACACCCTTCCAATTTGAAAAAGTGACTATCCAAAGCAACAGCAATATTGACACTCTGAGAATTTAGTTCAACATTATAAATCATATACATTCAAAAGTAAACAAAATAATTCAGCCAGAACTAAGATTAATTTTTAACAAGTATACACACACTTAAATTGCATTTCTTACATCACTCTTTCCCCAAATTGGTAGATTGATTCTTTCTAAAACAGATGGTAGAAGAATGATACATATAAGGTCATTTTCATTAAATAATTCAAAGTAGAATTCATTACTCAAACTCTGCTGGCATTTTCAAAATGATTGCAAATACTAGAAATAAATTAACATTTAGCTTTTCTAAATTATGAAGGCTTCTTAAAACCTTAGCTATCTTTGTTTCAAGTCTATTAGAAATCAATTGAATTTCCAGATAAACTGGATGGTTGCTTACAATTCTTTGCATCTATTTCTTTTTCTTCCTTTCCTCCTCCTTTCTTGTTCCCTCCTTTTCTAGGAGGCTGGAAGGTGGAACTGGTACTATAGCATGCATAAGTTCTACTAACTGCAGAATACAAACGTTAATTTGTCATCACCACTATTATCAAGAAGCAGGATGTGCCTGCACATACACAAAATACCAGGAAACCCTGACTGAGAGAGGACGCAGAAGCCAACCAGGAAAACTCAACTAAGAGAATTTGGTTTATTCTCTCTTACTTACTCCACTCCAATGGGTCTTTTTGAAACCTGGTTATTCTGTAAGGTACCTGGCATTCGGAGAAGATTTAATAGGCATTTGTGGAGTTTTTGAATTGAGAGCAGAAAAGGGCTATACTTTCATTCCATTGGTGCTTAGCCCAGCTAATTAAAGCATCACATTAGTAAACTGAACAGTTCAGCATTTGTATGAGCGGTAAATGTTTATCCTTGATCACTGCAAGCACATTCTTACCTCATAAAACTAAGCAAAACCAGGCACAGGCAGCTCATGTCTGTAATCCTAGCTACTCAGAAGGCTGAGATTTGAGAATCATAGCTTGACGCTAATCCAGGCAGGAAAAGTGGTTCAAGTAGTAGAGCATCATCCTTGAAGGAAAGGGATAAGGGAGAGTGCCTAGGCCCTGAGTTCAAGCCCTAGCACAAGCACCAAACAAAAAGTAACCTACTTAACAAAGATTAGGCAAAATTTCTAAGCTACAACAAACACATCACCAATATCCCAAGAGGGATCCAGAAAAAAAAGAAAAACAGTCCATTAGCTTCTTTTGATTAAAGAATAGAAACATACCACTGCTTTCACTCCAGCAAATACAGTACAATCTACCAACCTTCACTTAAATGAACTGTTGGGCCAACCTTCCCAAAAGTGAACTATATACTGAGAATAGTCTCTATGGCATACCAATGAACTTCACAATCACCAAGAGTTAGAGGCAACTGCTCAGAAGCCTTAGATGCCAGTTTTACTTGTCACTGAACTAAGATTAACTTTAAAAACTCACATAAACTGAGAGCACGAGTTTTTACAAAAGCTGCCAACTCCAATAAGGTCGCAGAAAAAATTCTTCACACAAGGGGAGCCCTGAGTACAAATGAAAGCAAATTAAAAATTCCAGTACATTGTTGACCGCCTTAGGTTTTCCTCTCATTTAAAAAAAAGCCAAAGGGACAAAGCATAAGTTTGGTGATGGCAATTGTGCAAGATGATATAGCCAAAATCAATGAAACCAGAACTCAAAGCCCAAAGCTCTACATCAAATTACTGATAATTCAGTGTGTGTTAGTAAGAACACTTGAATGGTAAGTTCAAATCTTTAAGATTATGTATTTTTTATACTAATAATAGTTATAATACTATTATACTTCCTAAATGGGTCTGGGCAAAGTCGGTAGGATCTACAGCATTAGGAATGATGGAATGCAGTGCTGCTCTTAGTACAGTATTTTCCTTATTGTATGAGACACAAGCGATGTGGCTAGCATCCAACTTTCAGATGCTATTGTTCCAAATAGCATCTGGAAGACTGCTAGTATGTTTTAAAGAAAGACTGTTAAACACAAATTTTATGGTGTTGCACACCATTCTCATAGTGTTCATTAACGCTGCAGAGGTACTAAAACTATTCTCAGGATTAATGACAAGAACTTGTTGAGTACAACCAAAGTGATGTACTTTATGGGAACCATCACTGACTCTTCAGGAAGTTCCCAGTGTTGCCTAAATTAAAGCAAATGAAAAACTTGAGATACAGAGTTGAGTAACTTGTCTTTGACCACTCAATGGGGACAATCGGGCTCTAACCAGGGCCACCTAATCCTCTTTCCTTCATCACTTACCTGCCATTATATGAGTAACGTCTTATACACAATTTAATGAAACAAGCACACTATTAAACAATAGTGCACACAAAAAGTCCACTGGTTTGGATACTATGTGTAATATATACATATATTAGATAGATGCAAAAGTTATAAAATAAAAACATTCATCAACAGTTGCTTTTCTTATTCATTTTTGTGCTTTGCTTCGTCTTAAAAACATTTCCAATGAAAACACATTATTTTTGCAATCAGAAAGAAAGGCCCTGTCCTTTACTTCTTACCACACATGCCAGGTTGTTTTAATTTTCCTAAAATTCTTATCAATTAAATAGTATCAGGGTATTGCTTTTACTTTCTTAGTAACCACCAAAACACCAAAGGTCGTGGGGCAGCATTCATCATCGTTCTAAAAATTCCTCTTGTAGGAGATGTAGGAGAAATTTGACCTTTCTTTGCTATAATTAAGGTAGAAGCAATTATAAAATCATAAAACAAAATCATTGTATGCAAGTATTCAACAGCTTTTTCTACAAAGAAAAAAGAGAGTCTATAATGCAAATATAGCTATTGTTTCATTACCTTTTCTGTAAACAAGTCTGCTGACAACAACAATAGTTATTATACTACTATGCCTCCTAAATGGGTCTGGAGTGAAGTCAGTAGGATCTACAGCATTAGGAATGACGGACACGATTTCAGGATTCAGTGCTGCTCTTAGTACAGTATTTTCCTTACTAGTGTAAGAGACACAAATGATGTGGTTTGTGTCACAAAGAGACACAGTTAGAAGCTTGTTTGTAAGCACCGAGCTGACATCAGCAAATCCAAAAAGGGAATGATCCGTAAAGACTGTCTGTAGCCCCATTGTCTTGGCGTGGAAGAGAGCATCGTGGGCCATGGCAGAAAAAGAACTATGGGAATGGATTATTGTAATTCTCTCCCGAACAAAAATGTACCTGAGCAATGGCAGACTGTGAAAGAGGGTCGTGGCTGTAGATTGGTTGTACATGACTTTCAGAGGCAAGTAATAAACTTTGAGGCCATTAGTGAGGTAACGGATGCCTTTGCGATCTCCATAAGCATGGGTAACAATTATGACCTTGTGCCCTCTTTCAATTAGGCACTGAGAGAGCTGGTAAATGTGGCTTTCCACGCCTCCCATATTTGGGTAAAAAAAGTCAGACACCATGCATATACTATGTTTACGGGTACTATGGGAGGAAAGGCTTTCAGGGCTAAGTGTGGGGGGTGTGGATGAGTGAGGCAAGTCATGTCCACCTCCTTCTCTAAAGGCCATGCTGAGATGGTTTAGGCATCAGTTCTTAGAGCAAGCCAATTAAGAAATGTGTCCTCTGTTACCTGAAAGACAGAAAAACAAGATCTTAGCTCCAGAGAAACAGCACATTCCATAGTCCAGATCCTGCCCAACAAACTCCTTAAGATTTAATGCATATGCACTGCATCTCATACGTATCACTGAACAGCACCGGATGGCAACCTTGTCACATGCACAGATCCCTTCTCAAAACTCTGACAAGTCATGATCTCTCACTTCCCTAAGATAACCCCTCTGTCATTACCGTGACAGCACTCCAAATCCTAGAAAACATTTTTTTGTCAGTTACGGGGCTTGAAATCTAGGCCTGGGCGCTATCCCTGAGCTCTTCAGCTCAAGGCCAGTGTTCTACCACTTGAGCCACAGCACCACTTCTGGTTTTCTGGTGGTTAATTGGAGATAAAAGGCTCACAGACTTTCCTGCCCTGACTGCTTTTGAACCACGATTCTCAGATCTCAGCCTCCTGAGTAGCTAGGATTACAGGTGTGAGCCACTGGCGCCTGGCTTAGACAACAAATTTTTAACCACGGATTTTCTCTTTAGTCATCTACCTGGAGCCCACCATTTGCCATAAGGGTGTAATTTCTTTCTCTTTCTTTCTATTTAAGTCTTTGCTTGCCACTTATAAAAATAGTTATAGCCCAGCTGCCACTTAAAAAGTTTTAGCCAGGCACTAGTGGTTCACAGCTCTAACAAAAGCTACTCAGAAGGCTGAAATCTAAGGATCCCAGTTTGAAGCCAGCCCAGACATACAAACCCAGGAGACTTATCTCCAGTTAACCAGCAAACCTGCAAGTGAAGATGTGGCTCAACTGGTAGAACATCAGCCTTGAGTATAAAAGCCAAGTGAGAGCATGATACCCTGAGTTCAAGCCCAGTAACAGCACACATACAAAAAAATAATATTCAGTGTTAAAGTAAATTTGTTGGCTTTTCCCAAGAAATAAAAAACAAGCATATAATGAATTCACTTGTTTGACATTTATCACATATCACACAACAAAACTAGATTTTACAATGGCTTAATTAAGCTCTAAAAGTACTAATACAAATAAGTTTTAATGTTATACTACAGTATATATATGTGCATATTTCCCCTATACTATTGTCACTTTATTAAATATTCACTATATATCAGACAGTGTGTGTTAAATTTTTTTCTTTTTCTTTTTTTAACAGTTGTGGGGCTTGAACTCTGGGCCTGGGTGCTGTTCCTGAGTTCTTCAGCTCAAGGGTAGTGCTCTACCACTTTGAGCCCTAGACCCATTTCTGGTTTTCTGGTGGTTAATTGGAGATAAGAGTCTCTTGGACTTTCCTGCCCAGGCTGGCTTTGAACCGCAATCCTCAGTTCTCAGCCTCCTGAATAGCTAGGATTACATTCATGAGCCACTAGCGTCCGGCAAATTTTTTCTGGAATACATTTAAGAATGTTAGAAAGATTTGTCTGTTTTGTTAGTGATCACTCCTGGCCCTTACATTTTAAAATCCCCCCCTCCTTTTTTTTTTTTTTTTGTTGGCCATGGGGCTTGTCCCTGAGCTCTTCAGCTCAAGGTTAGCACCCTAACACTTGAGCCACAGTGCCACTTCCAGTTTTCTGGTGGTTTTATTGGAGATAAGAGTCTCACAGACTTTCCCTCCTGGGCTGGCTTTGAACCATGATCCTCAGATCTCAGCCTGCTGAGTAGCTAGGATTTTAGGCTTGAGCCACCAGTGCCCGGCTCCTCCCCTCCTTTTTTTTTTTTTTTAAGACAAGGTCTAGCTATGTAGCAAAGGTTGGCATTCTCCTGCTTGTCTTTTGAGTTCTAGGATTACAGCTGTGGGCTGCCACAGCTGGGACTCCACTTTACATTAGGACCTGGAATTACCCAAAGAATATAGTAGATATAATGTGCAAATCTTTGGCCTTGGGCGACCCTAAACAAATCTAGCTAATATGCTAGAAGAGAGAGACACTGTAGAAGGTAGATTACTCAGATAACCTGGAGAGATCCAGAGGCCCAGCCATCCCCATATTCTTACCTGAATCCAGTCTCTAAGCAAACTACTAGCTAAATGCAGCCTCCCTAGGCACCACTAGCAAGACTAGCACAATCACTGTCACCTAAAAGAGTCCAGGATAATGAAAAATAATACAATGGCTACTATTTTATACCACTGTTAGGGAGAATTTTATCATATAGAAAGAGATAACTCAAACAGGCTAGAATTTGAATGTAATTATACTGGTCCACTACCTAGTTTTGTAATATACTTTAGGAGCACAGGCTTGCCCATTCATTCATTTGTGTGAATGCCTACTTTTGTGCTACATTGGCTTCCACAGAGACCACATGATCCACAGAGAATAAAATATTTGCCATCTGGCCCTTTACAGAAAGTTCGTTGATTCCTGCTCTAGAGTTAACCACTGATTCAATTAATCTAATAATTTTCTTCTAGCTGGGGTGCTGGTGGCTCACACAAGTAATCCAAGCTATTGAGGAGGAGGATGAGAGCAGAGGATTGTAGTTCAAAGCCAGCCAGGGTAGAAAAGTCTGACAGACTCTATTTTCAATTAACCGGCAAAAATCCAGACTAGAGGCATGGCTCAAGTAAAAGTACTGGCTGTGACCAAGAAAACCAATACACACCCACACCCACACCCACACCAGTTCTGATAGCATTAGCTTTATGGTTTACACTAAACTATACCTGGAGCTACTGTCTTGGAGAACAACTTGATTTCAAGTGTCACACAGAGCTTTTACTCCTTCCTTATTTAAGGACAGTGACATTCCATCCACTCCTTTCACTTTTTTCTTAACCTTTCTTGTAATTAAGTAGGTCTTTTCTCCAGGAATGTTCCTCCTTTCAATGAACAGTTAGAAAATGAAGCCTAAACTCAATATGGGCTAGATTTGGGGCCATTTCCTATATCTCAAATGAGAAATGCTTATCTAATAGGTCCAATGAAGTCCCACCAATGTGAAATCCTCATTCCACACTCAAGACTTTTCACTAAAGAGGCTTTTGGAGAAACTTAACTATACAATGAGAAGCCATCCTTAAGCTCTTAGTTTGAAATTGCACCTGAAAACTCAGAAAATACAAATTAACTGTGTGTGCACAATATTAACTATCAAATCTAACAATTTCATCTACATTTCAGGTATAGTCAAAAATACACCATAAATGTTTATTGATTCAAATGTACTGAATATTGAGATTACTGAAGTTTGCATTTTTAAGTTGCTTAACATTGTCTTGCAGTGTTTTTTCACTTACATTTTCAATTCTATTTAGTTGGGTTGTGTTTGTTTTTGTACCGGTCCTGGAGCCTGAACTCAGGACCTAGGCACTGTCCCTTAGCTTTTTTGTTCAAGAATCGTGCTCAACAACTTGAACCAGAGCTCCACTTCCAGCTTTTTTGATAGTTAATTGGAAATAGGAGTCTCACAGATAGAAAACTCCCAGACTTTCCTGTCCCAGCTGGCTCAGATCTCAGTCTCCTGAGTAGCTAAGAATACAGGCGTGAGCTTCCAGTGACCCGTTTTTATTTAGCTTTAACAGATAAAAGATAACAAAAAATGGAAAGTAATGAATCAAACGTAATTATTGAAAAAAATTTGTCATTAACTTCTAATGCTGTGACAAGCCTGCCAACCATCCTATTATCATTGCTAACAGTTCCAATCTACAGCAAAATCACCCAATCTACAGCAAAATCACCTAAGTTTAAACTTTAAAACTGAAGATAGGCTTAAGAGATCTAGTGAATCACTTGTGCACTTTACTAATGGGAAAGCAGCCAAGTTGAACGAATTTTCTGTCCTAGAACTCCACCCTGACACTTCACGTGGCTAAGTGTCAGAAAAAAAAAGTCTTAAAATTCTCAGTCACGGCCCAAGAGTTCCAAGCAGTCATTATAGGAGTAGAGGCTGTCAAGGAACCTCGGGAAGGAACCACAGGAAGCAAGCACTGGGGCTGAGCGTCAAGACCACCAGCATACCCAATCCCTAGGCGGTCAGGGCTTCACCCGCGCAGAGGTAGCTGGAGAGCGCTTAGGGCCAGGGAGAGGAAGCAAACCCCGGTCAGTCAGCGACCCTATCTGGGATAGGCAAGGTCTGGCCTACGCCCAAAGAGAGAACGAATAAGGTCGAAAAGTCGACCGCAGTTGGGAGCTCGGGGTCCCAGAGGCCCTAGTCCCTCGCTTCACTAACTTCAGCCAACGAACCGGCTCCGGCCGCACTCGACTACCGAGACGCTCCAACCCGACTTCCGGTCCTCAAGCCGGGCCATCTTCACACACCCATAGCCTTCCAGGGTCCTAGTGGAACTCCCCAAACCCGTCCCTCAAGGGCCAAGACTGCCAGAGAGAAGAGACCAAAGGAAGACTTACCGGCAAGTCCCATGGCCGCCAGTGTCCGGACCTCCCGCGGCTGTAGCCAGAGTCCCGCCCCGCTGCTTTAAAGCACCAATCCCGAGCGTCCGCGCCCGAACGCCGCACCCCCGAGACAGCCAATGAGAAAGAGGAATTTGGGTCACGTGCGAGAGCGGCACTCAATCAACCCCACCCTTCAGTGCGGGAGGTAGCTGTAGCGACGGCTAGCGCGAGTCTCCCGAACGCTGCGGAAGGCCGGGAGCATGCGCAGCGTGGTTTCCTAGTTACGGCGTCGCTTTTCAGGAAGCGTTTTCTCGCCCAGCTGTCTTCTGATTGGAGAGATTTCGGTTGTGAAGGCTACGGAAGCCAAGAGGAAGCCAGAGGTTGAGTGGCGTTTTATCTGAGAGGATTCGTTCCTCAGCCGAATGGTACTGGTTCTTACCATTCTGGCAATGTCAGATGAAACAAAATAAATAAAAAGTAAAAGCAAATCAAAACAAATTAAAATGTGAGGCATGAATTTCAGAAAAACATTTTTTAACATTAGTATGCCCCTGATATTAAAGACTTTCCAAAAAACAATATTCAGTTCTGTAAAAACAATGTGCTTTTGAAATTCAAATTTGACTGCCTGGCTTGTATTTTATCTGAAGTTCTGAAGTGAGGAGAAAAAAATCTAAGATCTGACTTGAAATCTCTACTCCTATTCAAACTGGTTCAAGTAGCTGTGGTGGTGCTTGGCTAACAGGCCAAAAAATCATGAGTGGTCTGAAGAATATCCACTTTTTAAAGTTAGTACTTGAAATTTTCCAACTCTGCCATGCACTTTCGTGAACAAACTCCTTTCTGAGCACCATCCCTGCGACCATTGTTATTCCTTTTCAAAGTAAAGCATGCCTATTGATTCCTGAAGACTTCAGCTTTTTTCTCATGCCCTCCTCAAGCCTCCAAAGATGGGTAAATACTTCCATGTCTGTATTTTGATAGCACTATGGCATTAAACATTGGTGCTCCTGATATTGAAAGACTGCAACACCTAAATCAAATGTACTGTCTCTATGGTCTCAAAGAACGAGTCCATGGACACAGAGGAAGAAGTACAACAGCAAAGATTTATTGACAAAAAATGAGAAGCAGAGCTCCTGCTAGATAGGAGGGGTACTAAGAGAGGGTACCACCTGAGGTGCATTGTGCAGGGATTAATAAGGCGTTATAGGACAGCTATGTGCCTGGCCAGATCATTGGATAGCCAGTGGGCCCAGACCCAATCAGAGGCTCCACATAGCCTGCACTGTGTGGTTTAGTCCCTCTGACTGGGTGCCTATTCTAGCCTATCCTTGTGGGGTCCAATCACTTCACTTCTCAAGTCTTTCAGGAGCAATGGTCCATGATGTGATGCCCAGTGGCTGCCATGCACTACTGAGCAAGACCATGATGATGTGATGTCTGGGGTCTGCAACCAGAACTGCTCAAGGTCATGGTGATGGATTCAGAAACGCTATAGGAGGGGCCATTTTCCCTGATTGCTTAGCCAAGCCATTTTTCCACTCTCATTCTAACCTCTGGCCCAAGCACTAAAAAAGTAAATAAATTAGGAGTCTGCCCATCAAAGGTTCACAATCTCATAGGGGTACATGCTTCCATTTATAGTTAAATCTTAAGGAATAATATCTATTTGAGACTAATTTCTAGTAGTCAATAGTTGTAACAGGATTACCAGGTAATTCTAATAATAGTGTAGTGCCTGAATGTGGGCCTCAAAGTATGTCTTTAGAATATTTTCTTAAAATGTACTAAAATTAGACAAAAATACTTATATACACTGATTTCTGATTATACCTAGAATGATATGACAATAATCAGTGCCAAGTGTGGTATTAAATGACCTAAATAGAAAAGATCTGAATCAAGTGTATCATCTTCCCGGGAAATTCAGTTCTTTGTGCATTCATATGTAAATAACATCCCTTTGATAATTCTAAAGTGGAAGTAAATGACATGCATTAAGAGTCTACTGTCTATAGGAAAAGCACAATGAAGAAAATAAAATCTGCCAATCAGCCACACCCCCCAAACAAGATGAAGGCACTTGTAAATGTCTATGATAAGAGGGAGTGGTAAATGTTATAATAGAAATACAATAAAAATACTGGAAGTTTGGAGGCAAAGAGTACGTCTGTCTGCCAGGTAGAAGAATAAGTGTGTCTATAAAGCTCTTGGGAGCAAGGACATCACAAAAGCAAAATAAATGATGTTCACAGACTGATGGGTAACTGTCAATCATGGTTGCATTATTCTAAGAGCAGAAAAAGAACCTGGTTGGGCACTCAGGACCAAGACCTCCTCCCATGGAGGTTCTGCATCCGTCACCATGGCCTTGAGCAGTTGTTCATGCCAGGCCCCAGACATCATGTCATAGCCCATTGGCCCTGAAAGACTTGCATAGGAGTAGTGGGCTGATTGGGCCTGGAAGACTTGCATAGGAGTAGTGGGCTGATGGGCCCTGGAAGACTTGCATAGGAGTAGTGGGTTGATTGGCCCCAGAAAGTGTATATAGGAACAGAAAGAACATCTTGTCAGTGGGGCTAAACGATGCATGGAGAACTGTGCAGGGTGCGTAGAGCCTCTGATTGTATCTGGACACTGATATGGCCTGAGGGCTGCCCAATGATCTTGAGAGTCACGTAGCTCTCTCCTAACTAGCTTAACTAACCTTAATTAACCTTACTAATCCAAGCACAGGCACCCAGGTGATGCTTTCCCTGGGAACCCTCCTGTCTAGCAGGAGCTCTGCATGTCTTTTTTTTTTTTTTCTTCAATAGAACTTTGCTGTTTTGCTTTGTCCCTCTTTGTCTCCCTCTTTGTCTAGGGACCATAAAGACAAAGGACCTGTCTAGGTGTTGTAATCCTTCAGAATCATTTACACAAGGAAGACATGTGGAAAGAAGAATAGCATGTTCTGCAAAAGTTAGAGCAAACTGGTAGACATCCTCCCCAAAGAAAATTGGCTTGATGTTTATTGAGCCTGATTTCTAGCCAATATGACATTTTCAATTAATAGCTCTTAAGTCTTAACACTTCACATTCTGCTTCAAATAGAAAAATAAGAAAAACAGTATAAAAATTTGAGCTGTGACTAAAACAAAACAAAACAAAACAATAAAAAAGATCTAAGCTGGGCACCAGTGGCTCACGCCTGTAATCCTACCTACTCAGAAGGCTGAGATCTGAGGACCGGGGTTCAAAGCCAGCCCAGGCAGGAAAGTCCATGAGACTCTTATCTCCAATAAACCACTAGAACACTGGAAGTTGTGCTCTGGCTCAAGCAGTAGAGTGCTCGCCTTGAGCTGAAAAGTGCAGGGACAGCTCCCAAGCCCAGAGTTCAAGCCCTATGACCGACCAAAAAAAAAAAAATCCATGGTTGGGAATGTAGCTTAGTGGTAGAGTGCTTGCCTAGCATGCATGAAACCCTAGGTTCAATTCCTCAGTACCACATAAACAGAAAAGGCTGGGAATGACGCTGTGGTTCAAGTGGTAGAGTGCTAGCCCTGAGCAAAAGAAGCTCAGGGACAGTTCCCAGGCCCTGAGTTCAAGCCCTAGGACTGGCCAAAAAAAAAAGATCCAAGAAGAAAAAGAACCAAAATGCACAATGATGATCAGGACCAAAGCCACATAGATCCTAGATTCCATATATGGTAGTAGGAATGCATAAAACAGGGTTCATGGGACTCTGTGTGGCTGGGGACAGGAAGTAGCGTCGTGAAAGATAGTCACATTGGTGGCTTTCATTAAACAACTTGCCAAGGAACATCCCTGTCTAATCCCCTTCCACATTGACTCTGGGGTGTGACAATGTGAATTTGCTTGGCCATTGGGACCTCAGTGGATGAGAGACCACAAAGGTTTGGTACTTGTTTATGGATTGGGTCTTGTCCTATTGGAACCATTCCTCTTGAAAGCCAATGGCCATTCTGTGAAAGTAACATGTTAAATGATGAAAAGCCACATGGAGAGAGGCCTTGAAAAATAAGACTTCATCTTGGTGATGCCAGCTATAGGTGAGTACCCCCCCCCCCAATGTAACCACTGGAATAACTTCATTATCTGATTCTGGTTAACCTCTAAAATTAGGATAAATAATAAGTCATTGCTGTCTCAAGACAGTAAATATTAGGGTGGTTTCCGATATTTACCTTTTCTCCAATTATGCCTTTTTTGGAACATCCCTATTTCTAAATTAATTTTTCTCTTTAAAATATTTTCCTTAGCTTGGAGCTAGTATCTCATACCTAATCCTAGCTATTCACATGGCTGATTTGTGATTCACAGTTTGGAGCCAGCCCAGATAGGAAATAACCAAATTACCAGCAAAAAGCTGGAAGAAAAGTCATGATTGCCTGGAGGCTCTAAGTTCAAGCTCAAGTATCATCAAAACAAACAAACCAAAGAAAATGTAAATACATTTTCCTTAGCATACAATATAAAGTGGTAGAGCACCTATCTAGCAAGTTACAAGCCCCACATTCCACATAAAAATAAGCAAATGAAAACTTAAAAACAACAAACAAAAATTTGATCAGGACAAATTCCATCGCAAGAGAGCCCCAACATAGTGAGAAAGAAATATGAGAAGAAATATTTACATAACTGTCTAATAATATATTTGTATAGATCAGATAACACAAAATGCCACAGTTTGAATAGTGGTGTTTATTTCCTTTAAATACACTTAAATATAACACATCAGACAGTAGTTTTTACTAAAATTCAAAAGCTACAAGCTCAACAGTGGTTAGAAGTCAGTGTTGATCATACAAAGAGAGTCTGCATAAGCAAGAATCAGATTAATTCATAAGAGTTGCACTTAGCAGAGGACTCGGAGATTCTGTCATTTTCCCTGTCCACTCTGAATAATCAGACTTATGGCACCTGCCATTCAATGACAAGCAAACCTTTCTCATCATCAACAGCTATAGGCTCCACAGGTCCCTTCCTCTCCACTCCTCGGTATGCAAAGACATCAGCTAGAGGTCATCTGTCAGTGAACCAGGGGATACTCAGCTGGCATTGAATTCAAGGTTGGATTGATTCTCTGTGATACAATATTAAACGGATTTTTTTTCCAAACACCTGATGGGGAAAAACAGTGATAACAACTTGGCAAAGCCACCTGCTGTTTTAAATGACAGGGATAGGGAATTTGAAACAAATGTGAATCAAAGATTCCATTGGCTGTGGAGCCCCTGGGAAGCCCTTTTGTCCTTTGGAAAGCGACCATGCTTTGTACATGCTGGTTTTCCATTAGCACATGTTCTAGCGTGGAAAGGGCATTGGCCCTCACAGCTGTCCCAAAAGAAAGTGAAGATGAGAATTTAGCATCAAGAACTAAACTGTTCTGATTTGCTTGTGTTTTCAATACATGCTAGACATGTATTTAAAATGTCAATAGGAAATCTCGAGTGGTTATTCGATGTGGATCAAAAAAACTGATTAAAGCCTAAACAGTAACATCCAAATGTTCTGGCCATGGAAAATAATTCTTGCTTATATAAATCTAGTGGCATCCCCTTCATCAAAGAAAAACACTCAACACATATACGGTGAGAAAGAACTGGAACAAAACAGTCTGCTGATAGCTCTCTCCCCTCCGCTCAGTAATAGTTTAAATTCCATCAATTTGGTTTTTGCTTAAGACCTATAAACTCATAATAGCAAGCAGGAGTTTCTTCATGTCTCAATAAGTCATCAGTGTACTCACTTGTTTATTATTTAGCTTCAAAACATGTGGTTTTTTTTTTTTTTTTTTTATCAAAAAGGAATGTGGGGCTGGGAAAGTGGCTCAGTGGTAGAGTGCTTGCCTTGCATGCATGAGGCCCTGGGTTCAATTCCTCAGCACCACATACGCAGAAAAAGCTGGAAGTGGTGCTGTGGCTCAACGGGTAGAGCACTAGCCTTGAGCTGAAGAGCTGAGGGACAGTGCTCAGGCCCAGAGTTCAGGCCTCATGACCAACAAAAAAAAGGGGGGAGATGTGAACACTGAGGGGGAAAAATAGCTTCAGAGGGAATCCCATCGAATCAACATGGCATCTCCATTAACTTAATTTACATAAATTAAGTTAAGGCAAAAGTGAAAAAGCCATGGACCTGCAGGTCTCTGGGTGGAAAATCTTGTGCTTCTGGCAACAACTCTCCAGACTTTCTTTGCATTCAAAGCAACTGCAGTTTTCTGGGTGCTGAATAAGATCCCTGGGACACGGGGTTTTACAGACACACTCGCAACGATCTTCGTCCAACTTCATGTGTGGCCCACAGAAAGCCGGTTCTTGGGGATGAGTGTAGTCTAAACAGAAACAGACAAATGTTGGTTGGAGAGCTGGAGCTCTCTATACTATGAACACTCATTCGTTGTTGAGTCTACATTAGCCTGATACAAGTTGGATTCACTCAATTTCCTTTCCTATAGGTTTTTGCCTTTAATTTAGTCACCAGATTAAGGAGATTCACCTCTAACTTTCTAGCAGAAACACAAAACCCACGTGTTGTATAATTTGTGAGAAATTACCATTTGCTGAATGGTTTTAAGGTATTTTAGACATTATCAGATAGGTGACAATTAAGCATTTGCAGTTATGTATAGGGTGTCTATGAGTTATAAGTGCCCTGCTACCAATTTTTTTAGGAGATTAAAAGGAGAGCAGAATGGAAGTAATTTGTGTTGCAGCAATACATTTCAGAACCAGACTGACAATAGCAATGGTGATACAGTCTACAACTCAGATGAATACAATGGTATGAAAGACAAAACGGAGGCAATGAACTGTGATTCCATAGTTATTTACTGGAAGATACATTTTACTGAAGATCCTTTGAGATACTTTTGATAAGTTTAGCCCATGGATACTTCTAGAAAATGTTCCAAATAATTGGATAGGTGGTTCTTTTTGTCCAATCCTAATTAGTAAATTGAAATCCATTGCAAAAAGAATAGAAGAGGTAGAAACTTTGGAAGAATTTGAACTTAGTCACTTTGCATTTCTTGAAGCTTTGAGAGGAAAAGGTAGGGGCTTCTTCCCTTAGACAGGCTTCTCTCCCAGTTTGCCTCTTTTAAGGAATGGAACCATTACTCTGGATGCAAACAATGTATTACGTTTGGACACAATATCTAGTCAGTCCTGAAGCCCTCAGCTCGTTCTTTCATTTTTGTTTTTTGGGTTTTTTTTAGGGGGGAGGTTATTTTTTGGTTGGTAATGGGGCTTGAACTCAGGGCCTAGGGACTGACCCTGAACTCTTTTGCTCAAAGCTAGTACTCTACCACTTTGAGCCACAGCTCCACTTTCAGTTTTTCAGTGGTTCATTGGAGATAAGAGCCTCATGGGGACTTTTCTTTCTTTTTTTTTTTTTCTGTTGGTCGTGGGGCTTGAACTCTGTGCTTGGGAGCTGTCCCTGCGCTCTTCAGCTCAAGGCAAGCGCTCTACCACTTGAGCCACAACGCTACTTCCAGTTTTCTAGTGGTTTATTGGAGATAAGAGTCTCATGGACTTTCCTGCCAGGGCTGGCTTTGAACCGAGATCCTCAGATCTTAGCCTCCTGTGTAGCTAGGATTACAGGCATGAGCCACTGGCCCTCTGCTTCTTTCATTTTTTGAAAGATGTTTCATTAGCACATATTAGTTATACAAGTAGAGTGCACGGCAATATTAGCATAAATATATCAAATGTGTTTCAATCAAACTCAGCCCCTTCTTCTCTTTCCTTGACCACATTCCTGTTCTTAAAACAATTCCAATAGGTTGTACTAGTCGATTTTCACACATGTACATAAAGTAGTTCAACCATATACACCCTCCTGAAGTCTCTCCATTGGAACTCCCATCCCTGGCCAGTACCCTCCCCCACCCCCAGGTTATTCTTCCTTTTTCCATCACCACTGCAATGGCCACACATTTGATCAGCTCCTTGTATTCCTTGTGAAGGTGGCCTCTCAGACATCTCACCACCACGTTTTATTCCTCACATCTCTTCTTCACATGATTATCAAACTCAAACCTAGTCATCTTACTCCACTACTCCAAATGTTTTGAAAGTTCCCTCCCTATCATAAAAGTGAATTTTCTCACCACAACAACTTCTAAGTCTCTCTCTGCCTCTGTATTTGTTTCTCTCTGTCTCTGTCTCTCGTTCCCTCCCACCTTCTCTTCTTTGCTCCCTCTCCCCCCCTCTTCTTCCTCACCCTGTCCTCTCTCTCTTACCTTTAACTCAAATGGTAATTTCACAACATGCAATCTCATGGTTTTGACTGATTTTTAAATGGTGAGTGTTTTAGAAACTATATGGAATAGATGCCCCGGAAACCCCGTTCTGATTTACAGGAAAAGGAAAATGGTGAGCGGTGTATACCATAAGGCAGTGAAGTAGCTGTCTCTTTAGGGTAAGACAAGACTGTTTCGTTGGAAGAGGAAGTGCTTAACATTTCATATGGACCACTAGATGGCAGCAGAGATCCACTCGGAGCATTTCATACAGGACTACCTCCATTGTTGGACAGGGAGGTTTAGAAAAACACAATCCCCAAGGTGTTGAATTCACTTCAGCAGATTGTAGTCGAGAGGCAGCCCTTACATTCCTTACAGGCAAAGGGAAGACTGAGTTCAGACATCCTGCGTGATGCGCTATCAGTGTGCTCTGCCTTCATCCTTGTTTCATTTATAATTTTAAGAATACATAGGTGAAATTTGGGGGAATACATCCTTGAAATTATGACTCTCTTGAGAAGGAAAGGAATGTCCTAAATCCTCCACATTACAAAATAGAGACGCCCCCAATGGTTTCTTTTTGTTTTACTTGGTTGTTTTAACAGCTTTGAATAATGACTTCACTGTAACCATAGAAAAATAAATCAGGCTGGCATTTGTTAATCCAAATGCACTCACTGGAGGGAAGAAAAGTCACTGTGGAAAAAGCAATTGGCTTAACAGCCACATTCGTGGGGAAGATGAATAGTGAACAGAAAGCTCAGTATATGCCAGCAGTTTGGTAGGATTACTGGAGAAATTAACTTGAATTTGGGCACACTAAGCAATTATGGGAGATGAAAATTAGCAAGGACTGTGATGGAGACTACTTGCTTATCTCATTTCCATCATGCCTACCATTTCCCCAAATCTCCCAGCTTCCTTTGCTGCCTGGATCAACTCATTTTCTCCCATACTGTGCTAGCTTGACTTGGCTAAAGATTCTCAGGGGGTGCTATCCCTCTGCGGCTTGAATTATTTGAGTGGTTTCTCTTTGGCCTTAGCATCACATCCCAGCGTCTCCAGCACAAGGCTCACAAGGTGTTCAATTTAGCTCCTTCCTAGCTTCCATTCCCCCATCTACCCAGAACCCCCCACCCCATAGACGTCCCCACTCCGCTGAATATCTTCCAGCACCCCAAACGTGCTGAGTTCTCTCCTCTCCACTCCTAAGCCCTCCTATTCTCCGGGTCAGACCACTTCAGTCTTTCCACCGTGATACATGTGTGGACTGAATGAGTTCCTCCCCAGTAACTGCCTCCTCATCTAATGGGAAGTCCCTTGCTGAGGAAGTCTGTACTAGTGTGCAGGCCCAGCCCCTTCACCTGGTTATTGAAGATGTGCCCCAAGAGAGGGCCCAGCTTCCACTCCCCATAGAATGGGCTGATGCCTTTTAGCAACTGCATCACAATGTACTGCTTCTCTCTTCACCCTTTAATGCATTGTCCTTGCATGCAATCCTTCTGCCTCAGAACCTATGTGACCCGGAAACTTCAACTAGAATAGAATTTAAGTTCTATGGCTATTGCTTCCCACAGTAACTTCCTTTTTTTTTTTTTTTTTGTCAGTTATGGGGCTTGAACTCTGGGCCTGGGAGTTTTCCCCCAGCTCTTCAGCTCAAGGCAAGTGCTCTACCACTTGAGCCACAGCATCACTTCTGGTTTTCTGGTGATTCATTGGAGATAAGAGTCTAACGGACTTTCCTTGCCTGGGCTGGCTTTGAACTGAGATCCTCAGATCTCAGCCTCCTAAGTAACTAGGATTAAAGGCATGAGCCACTGGCGCCTGGCCCACAGTAAGTTTCTAACACTATTTAAAAATGAATCACGTGAAGAAGGAGTTAGAATCAGTCTTACAAGGCTCTATCAGATGAGAACTGAGCCAATGAATTGATGTTTTGGAACTGGACTGTCCACTAAGATAGCTCTGGGCCTCACATGTCTGTTGAGCATGAACTGGGAATACAAATTGAGATGTGCTAAAAGTATGAAGTTCATACTAGATTCAGAAAGCTTAGCACAGAGAAAGAGTATCTTATTAATACATTTTGTATTGGTTGCATGTTGAAATGATACTATTTTCTAAAGGAATAAATAAAATATGTTAACATTGATTTAATCTTTTTATCCTATTAAAATGTACATTATATACCATTGGACAATAGTTCTGGAGAGGAAAAAAAATTGAAGTTCAATATAGTACTTCTCCTTGCTGCCTTGATTTCTATTCTGGCAGAGGGTATCTGAATACTCAGAGAGAAGGGTGTAGAGGATCGTCCATGTTTACTTGGGCAATTAAAGTAGATGAACTGTAGGCTTACCTCACACCCTGGACTAGGATTTCATGAAAACATTTACATGGAAGCTGAGAGGACAATCAAAAGTAGGCTGTTATTTGTCATTTCTAAAGCAGATTTCTTAATACTGAATCTCTATTGTTTTTGTTTGTTGATTATAGCTTAAAACAAGCAAGATGTAAATTGCATGACTCCTTGGAATTGTTTTCAGTGGAACTCTGTCGAACTTCTGGGAAATAAAATTTAAAATGCCTTCTTTTTCACTAAGAACCACAAAATTGTAGATTAGGAACAAGGATGCTAACCTACTTTTTTCCCAATCCATCTTGAACCAATAACTTTTTTTTGTTTTTATTTTACTCCCGTTCCAAAAAAAGATTTCCCTTATTCCTCATTTTTTTTCAATTTTATTGGCATGTTTTGACATGATGTATTTGAAAGAACCTGAGTCCAAAATTACTTTATGTTCCTGTGAGACCTTTATACAAATGAGTTGGTAAACTGTGGTTGAGTAGTGTTTAGTTCAGAAGTAGTTTTCATTAAAGTTTAAATCTCTTTTTGAATGCAATGCTTTGGGACATTCTTAATTACTTTTGACTTTTCTTTGAGATTAAAGAGGAGATTGATGCCACCGGTAGGCTTATATGATCACAGCCGAGGGCTCTAGGATCTGGCTGCTTCTATTAGTGGTAGCTGTATACCTTGAGGACATTACTGGACATCTCAACTGTAATTGTAAAAAATGTTGTGAAGACTAAATATGTATAAAAGCAGCCAGGTGACAGCAGCTCACACCTGTAATCCTAACTACTCATGAGGCTGAGTATCTAAGCGGTTCAAAGCCAGCCTGAGGCAGAAAAGTCCCCGTGAGACACTGATCGCCAATAAACTACTCAAAAAAAAAAAAAAAAAAAAAGCTGGAAGTGGCACTGTGGCTCAAGTGGTAGAGCACTAGCCCTGAGTACAAAGAGGTTCAGGGACAGTGCCCAGGCCCTGAGTTCAAGTACCAGCAAAATTTAAAAATAAAAACAAAAACAGATTGTAGCATAATTTGGCTAAGATAAGTATTCAATAACATTAATTGGACGTATTATTGCTATTATGACTATTATAATTTCATTGCTGCTATCATTACCTTCTGTTCCGGCAAGTGGATTCCCGTCCTGTGCAACACATTTACAGTTGGTACTGTCCCATAGCATATCAATAGGACAGAGTTTCTTGGAATGGGGGCATCTAGGAAAAGAAATCAAGAGATTAGATTTAAAAGCTTTCCAAACTAATCAAAATTTTGAAGCATTAAACAAATTTCCAAGTGTATCAGCAGTCACAGTTCTAATGCGTTTATTTTCTATTTCAGTCACACAGGAGGAATACAAGTTTATTATATACTGTATTGTATAATGCAGTGATTGTAGTTAATAAATGCATTGTGTATTCCCAAATTCTCAGGGACAACATTCAAAAGCTCTCACTTCAAGAAATGACAGTTATGAGACTTGAACTCATATTTGCAAACTGTGTCTTATTAGATAGTAATTCTGTAATTATGAATATTCCATTGGGTGATTTTTAGAAACCAGGCTGTAATTCAGAAAAGTTATTTTATCTCCTACAAAAGATAGTTGTTAAAACTAGGCAAATTAAGCTGGGCATTGATGGCTCATGCCTGTAATCCTAACTTCTCAGGAGGCTGAGATCTGAGGATCATGGTTCAAAGCCAGCCCAGGAAAATCCGTGAGACTCTGATCTCCAATAAACCACTAGAAAACTGGAAGTGGCGCTGTGGCTCAAGTGGTAGGGTGCTAGCCTTGAGCTGAAGAGCTGAGGACAGCGCCCAGGCCCAGAGTTCAAGCCCCCCCATGACTGACAAAAACAAAGCAAAACAAAACAAAAAAACTAGGCAAATTACAGCTGTTAACAGTTTATTTACCCAGAGTAAATAGTGCTCTAACATAGTTTCTGAGATTATTTTCTTTAGGATGGAAATAAAGATGTTAGCTAAGGCAGCAGGAAGATCTCAAAAGTAGATGTATGTTCCTCTCCCATACACTTAATCTTTGCTTGAGGGAAAAAGAAGTGTTTTCTTGGCTCAGTGTTAACTAGCATATAATCACAAGCTGCCTTTCACTTGACACATAATACTTTTATTACAAAATCCAAGTGTTTAACTTAGCTACTTTAATCTTTCTACTCAGTATTTCCAATTTGCCCTTAATGGTTTCCCTATATTAAATTTTCCCCCCTCCCAATCAATGATCCTTACCCTTGTTTTCAGAGCACATTAGAGCACTTTTGTCTTATATAAAGAATCACAAAAAGGAGTCTCAATAAAATGTGAAAGTCAAATGAATTTTAAGTCATTTTTCAAACCCCATACAGTACTGGTGCTTGAATCAAGGCCGTGCATTCTCACCTGGCTTTTTCTACTTAGGGATGGTGCTCTACTATGTGAGCCACACTTCTACTCTGGCTTTTAGCTGGTTAACTGGAGATAGGAGCCTCTTGAACTTTTCTTCCCTGGCTGACTTTGAGCCTCTATTCTCAGATCTCAGTCTCTTGAGCAGCTAGGAATACAGGCCTGAGCTGCCAGTGCTTCTTAGCTTACGCTATTTTAAAATAGAACACTGAGAAACTTGTATACTAATTGTTATGCCATTTCCAATGAATCATTGGTGCAGTTTTACAACTACATATGACCATGCATATTAAGGACAAGCACTTACAATAACCAAAGTGTCTATACTTGGTGGATCCTAACCACCAAGCTTTTGGGTTTCAAACCCTAATAAAAATCTTTTTGCCAAACCGTTACTAACAGCAGACATTGAAGCTAAAAGATGAATGAGCAACAAAAAAATTATGACCATAATTCATGAGGTCTTTTCTAGGCTAGGACAAACACAATCTAGTATGTTAAATGCTTACCGATCTTCTTCTGGAATCTGGATGGATCTTCTGATAATTGAGTATGGATGGGGAGGGGCCGTTGGCAAGCACTTACAACCTGTGTGGTTAGCAACCTTCACAGGCACTAACTCAGGTACTGAGGTCAAAGGCACTGATATCTCAAAGAGCTATAACAGAGAAAGATAGCCATAATTGTATTTTACTTTATTATTTTCTTTAAAAAATTCACAATCTGCATTTTTGCCTCTGTATTTATGGTAGTGACCTTAGCAAAGTTGGCCAATAAGAATGAAACTTTTAATGATGAAGAATGATGGAATGAGGGGCTATTCACCTTTATGAAGTAGCTCGTGATTTTTCTCCTTCCTTCTTCTTTCCTTCCTTCCTCCCTCCCTCCCTCCCTCCCTCCCTCCCTTCCTCCCTCCCTCCCTCCCTCCCTCCCTCCCTTCCTTCCTTCCTTCCTTCCTTCCTTCCTTCCTTCCTTCCTTCCTTCCTTCCTTCCTTCCTTCCTTTCTTTCTTCCTTCCTTGCTTTCTTTCCCTCCTCCCCCTCCCTTCTCGCTCACTTTCTTTCTTTCTTTCTTTTGTCTTGGGGCTTGAACTCAGGGCCGGGTTGCTGTCCCTGATCTCTTTTGCTTAAGGCTAGCACTCTACCACTTTGAGACACCGCTCCACTTCTAGGTTTTGATGGTCAATGGAAGATAAGAGTCTCACAGGGATTTTCCTGCCTGGGCTGGCTTTGAACTGTGATCCTCAGATCTCAGCCTCCTGTGTAGCTAGGATGACAGGCTTGAGACAATGGCGCCCAGCTCATGATTTTTCAAATGTCCTAACTTTTTGGTGTCATTTATATCTGTGTAAAATGACACTGGCCTCTGCTCTTACTTTAAATATGAGAATAAATTGTAGGGATTCAATGAGCTATGGAGGTTCTGTGAGTACTTGCTGGATGTGATCATTATACCAACTATTTACTTATCCCTTCCATTATAATTTCCTGACTCTTGACTTTGGATGCAGCTATGTCACTAGTTTTGGCCAGCAGAACTTTAGCAGGCACAACACAAGTACAAACTGGAACTCGTATGCTTTGTAAGACTTTATTTTTCTCTTGCTTATCTGTAACCATAGAAGAATAAGCTGGGTGCTAGTGGCTCACACCTGTAATTCTAGCTACTTAGGAAGCTGAGAGCTGAGGATCGAGGTTCAAAGCCAGGCCAGGGAGGAAAGTCTGTGAGACTCTTTTCTCCAGTGAGCCACCAGAAAACCAGAAGTGGAGTTGTGGCTCAAGTGATAGAGCACTCACCTTGAGCTGAAGGGCTCAGGGACAGCGCCCAGGCCCAGAGTTCAAGCCCCACGACTGAAAAAAAAATAAAAAAAGAATATAATCTGACAGGGTTGTTGTTTAATGAATGAGAGGCACAGGAGAAAAGATTCAGGCTCACACTACAGGCTTGAGCCAAGCACAGCTGAGCCCCTTAAACTAATTGATCATCACATCCGTGATGATCATTTGTTGTTCTTTGAAGCCACAGAGGTTTAGGGTGTTTTTTCCCCCACAGCATTGAGTAGCTGACATAAGATCATGTCCAAATGAAAACTTATGCCATTCTATGTTTCTATATCCTCAGCCTGTTACAACAGGCACTTTGTGATTAGTGTGTGTGCATATGTGTGTGCTGGTGGGAGGTGTGTACTGGTATTAGGCTTGAATTCAGACTTTTGAGCTCTCATTTGTCCTTTTTTTGCTCAAGGCTGGCACAATACCACTTAGAACCACATCTCCATGTCTAGTTTTTTGCTAGTTAACGGGAGACTTTTCTGCTTGGACTAACCTAACTAACTGTGATCCTCTGATCATAGCCTCCTCAATACAGATGTGAGCCACTCATGCCTGACAATACTTTATTAATAATTTACCCCTCATGAAACAGTATGGGGTGAGATTTTTTAAATTATTATTCTTATCCTCCAGATTAAGAAAGAGATAAACAAAGAGATTATATATTTATCAAGTGTTGTTCTATGATGTGTACAGAATTTTGAACTTGATTTTAATGAGCTGTCCATCAGTCCCCATTCCATGTAATGTTTACTATATATTCATTTACTTATTTTCTTTTGAATAGGGAGTTCACCATGTGATCTATAACTTTGAGATGAGTGTTTTGATATTCTCTATTAAAATGTTCACATATGCATATTTGGAAAGAAAAACTACTGTACATTTTTACTTGCGCACATTCTGTAAGATGAATCAATTGTTGAGTACAGCAGTCAAAACAAAATAATCAACTATCTACTAAGTGGAAACAATCCATTAATATTGTGTTTTTTTCTGACCTTTCAACATGTAATGGAACTTCCATGAGAATAAGTAAGTGTTTTAGTGTTTGCTTTGCCTAAACTTCATCTTCTTGCACAATTCTTCAGCTTTCTCTAGGATATCACACAATCATCAACTAAATCATCATACATTATGCAAACTTTGTTTTGCTAACAGTTGATGCTTGGCCATATTTATGTTATCTACTTCTGATTTTCAGATATTAGAGGTCAGAGTTTTCACAAAATCCCAGATTATTTAAAAGGCATTCAAAAAAGAAATCAGGAACTGGGTGCTGGAGGCTACCACTCATAATCCTTGCTACTTAGGAGGCTGACCTCTGAGAATCACCAATTCAAAGTTGACCTGCTGGGGCAGAAAAGTCTGTGAGAATCTATCTCCAATTTATCATCAAAATGGCTAGAAAGGAAGCATGGCTCAAGTGGTAGAGCACCAGCCATGAGCAAAAACGCTGGGTGAAATCACAAGGCTCCTTGATACCACGCCCACCCAGCCTCTCCAAAAATAGAGAAAAGAAAAAGAAACCCTGAACTTTAAAGGATATATTTTTCCTTATTTTTTTCTTTTCTGATCTGGGGCCTTGAACTCTGGGCCTGGGCCCTGTCCCTAAGCTCCTTTTGCTCAAGACTAGCACTCTACCACTTGAGCCACGTACCACTTTTAGCTTTTTTTGTGATTAATTGGAGGTAAGAGTCTCACAGACTTTCATGCCTGGGCTGATTTTAAACCATGATCCTCAGATCTCAGCTTCCTGAGGATTACAGGTATGAGCCACCAGCATCCAGCTTAAAAAATATTTTTATAGGAAAAAAAAGAATAAGTTAACCTGTTAACCAAACAAATTGACATTAAAAAATTGGCTACCATGGATAACTTTAGTGCATATATGATTTCTTGTAGTACTTCTTTTCATGGTCATGAGGTCATGGTCATGTGGCGCTGTCCCTCAGCTCTTCAGCTCAAGGCTAGCGCTCTACCACTTGAGCCACAGCGCCACTTCTGGCTTTTTCTGCTTATGTGGTGCTGAGGAATTGGACCCAGGGCCTCATGCATGCAAGGCAAGCGCTCTACCACTGAGCAACCTTCCCAACCTCTTTTCCAAGGTCTTTTGTGCTGGATATTCTCTCTTTGCCTCTTCAGAGATACCGTCTTTTCTCCTTCCTTCTCCACCAGGCTCTGTTCCCAGGTCACCGGCCCCCATGGCTGGCATAACTGGTGCCCGTCAGCTCTCCCAGCACCGGTCCCCATTTCCTGCCAGGCTAAGGGTTGGTGGTGGCAGCAGCCAGTCCAGCTGCTCTGGCTTCCACAGTCCCTCTGGTCTCTTCAGTTTAACACTCAGAACCACTCTCCCTTCTTGTGATAGTCCTAGGTACTTTACTCTTCTGTCTCTCTTCTTCCATTCCCATCCACACTTTTCATTAAACTCTCACCAGACATTTCAGTTGGGCAACACAGAACCTAGCAGATGCACAAGACAGTGTGACTGCCTTCATTTCTGAGATCAACCTGTTCTAGTCACTTCTGTATATTTTCTGATTCTTGACCTTACTACCATTAGAGAGATAGTGACTGGTAAGTGTTCAGACTCTGGAGTCCTAGATACCAGGTTAAGATCCCAGCTCTGTCATTGGCCAGCTGTCTACCTATGTGTAAGTTACTTCTCTGAGCCTCGGTTTCCTCATCTGTTGAGAAGGATCAGATAATTTTTCAGCTTGTTTAGTCTTTAGGGATTTAATGAGACTATGCAGGTAAAGCAGTAAGCACAGGGGCTGACAACAAAGCCAGTGGCAACTGACAATTCCATCATCATTAAAGCGCTGAAGAGGCCAGGCCTGATGATGGACCACCCTCATACCTGTTTGGAAACATAGGAAGTGCTTGTGTTCATACACATGACGCTCTCTTCATTACAGCAGCCACCACACCGGAACACAAGGACACATGGGGGCTTGAAGAACGTGTTGGTACTCTTCCCCAGCTCGCTGGCAACTTCCACGCATGTCTCTCTAGGGCTGCACTGGGTTCTTTGCCACTCTTCATCTATAACTGCAGAAAACAAGCTCATAGGGACAATAAACAAAATGGTCCTGCTGTGCCAGAATGTGCCAGCTTGTGCCAGGGTGCTGAATCTAGAGAGCTGTGTTCACATTTTTACTGTGTGTTTCTTTTGCTAGAAGGCTATTCTTGTCAGTCCTTTAAGAAAAGTTTGCCTACAAAAAAGGAAACCCCAGCTGGGCACTACTAGCTCACACCTGTAATCCTAGCTGCTCAGGAAGTTGAGATCTGAGGATCATGGTTCAAAGCCAGCCTGGGCAGGAAAAGTCTGTGAGACTCTTACCTCCAATGAACCACCAGAAAACTGGAAGTGGTGCTGTGGCTCCAAGTGATAGAGTGCTAGCCTTGAGCAAAAAGCTCAGGGACAGTGCCCAGGCTCTGTGTTCAAGGCCCATGTCGTACAAAAAAAAAAAATTAAACCCCAAATAAGTGCTCCATTCTATTTTTACCGTACTTTCATGGGGAAGGGGTTCCCCTTGGGAAAGAACATTATGTCTGTGTACAACCATGTTTGATCTATCTGGAGAAGCTGACTACTGAAGAAGTCAATGGAAGCATATAAAGAAGTAACATGTAAATAGTATTTATCAAGCAAAATTTAGAGACACAGCTGGATAGCATTTTTTTCTACTTAAAGTCAAGTGTGAATATATTCTAGCACCATCAAGAAATACGTTTCTGGTGGTTGCTAAAATAATTTATTGTGAGACTTAACCCTGACAAGCACATGAATGGGCATTTAAGTGGAATTAATCTTTCCTCAGAACAGTGTACTCACTTTTGGAAATATTCAATACTTCCAAATATTTGTATATAAAAAATGAAATAAGCCCACTCAGTTTAATATCTTTTCTATCTGCTTTTTCCTTTTCTATTCCTTTACCCTAATTTTCTTCTTATGTTGTTTCTTCAATTACCAAAAATACAAAATAACACCATGTATGTGACTATGTAATTTATGTAAATATTTGTTCATAATATCAGTCTTCAGTATTGAGAAAGCTTTTTAAAATTCCTCATTATGAATATTTATATAAAGAGTTTTAAGTGGCTAATAGGAGAGAGAAATTGATCAATTAAGCATTAATATGGTACTATTTGATTCACTAATATTCATCATGAATCTTTGGGAAAACAAACAAGTAATCAGCTATAAAAACAGTCCTTGTCTAAAATTCTACTTAGAGTTTGATTTTTATTTTTTCTTTTTCAAAACAAAGTATTGAAAGTTGGAGAAGATTTTAATCAAAATTTCATGCAGTTATGAGCAATGCCACTAACTAAAAGCTTTATAACTCTATTTTTTTACTATTGCCAATTACCCTGAAATATACACGTGAGGGATCTGATAACCAAGTGTAGCTGATGTAGCATAATGATTTGATTACTTACTGCTGTAGAGTCTGCAAATTCCCTATTTTTAATGGTTTCCTCCTTAGAAAATGTCAACTTCACTGACTATTCCAAATTACTTTGGGGGGGCAGTAATAGCGTTTGAACTCAAGGTCTTACATTTGCTAGGCAGCACTTTACCACAGATGCATGACTCTAGCCCTCAAATCACTTACTTTGGGTTTTGTGATAACTCTTGCTGCCTCAAAGCATCTCCATGCTCACCTCGGACCTTCAGGTAATCTGGTTAAGGCCTTTGATATCCTAATGAGATGCCATTACTCTGCTTCATGAAATCTCTGTCATTATTTGCCATAAAGCCATAATTGGATGTTCACCCCTTGGCCATATTTTCTACCATCTCTCTCTCTCTCTCTCTCCCTCTCTCTCTCTCTCTCTCTCTCTCTCTCTCTCTCTCTCTCTCTCTCTCTCACACACACACACACACACACACACACACACACACACAGAGTCCTACACAGGAACACACAGTCTTCTTCACACTTGTGTCCACTCTGCTGCTGAGGGATTTGTCTCCATCTATACATAGCCTTCCTCACAGCCAAGTCTTGTGCAGCATCATATATTAATAAATGGAGGGAAAAAAGACAACTCTGGGCAGAAAAGAAAACAATACGTTTTATTTAATGGCCAATTTAAAATATTTAGTCAATATAATCATGTAACAGATGATCATATTATTCAAATGTACAATGTTAGATCCATGGTGCCACAATGATTTCTTGGGCTGTTTCTGACATGTCATCAAAAAAGTTAAGCGCCTATTAAAGGCCATACAAGTTCATTTGGCAAGCATTTCCTTCATTATGGCACAGTTCACACATACAGTGATTTCCTTGGTCTGTATCTCAGTGCGTAAATCACTGGAAGTGGGGCAAGAAGACATTAGAGTCTTCTCCAAGAAGGCAATAGGAAGTGTGGTGGTCACCTTATATTTGCAGGAGATTGGCTCTATGTACCCTTCCCCCAGAGAACAAAATCCTTGGGTGCCCAAGCTCTCTATATAAACTTGGGTAGTATTACATGTAGCCCATGCCATTCCTTCATGTACTTTAAATCCTCTCTAGATGACTAATACACTATCATTATTTAGAGACTGATGATAAGAAAATGAAGTCTTCATATGTTCAGTATGGATGCAACTGTTTTTCAAATATTTTCCATCCATCATTGGTCAAACCCCTGGTGTAGAAGCCTGCAGACATGGAGGACCAATTTGACGTTATGTTTTAGCCCAGAGTCTATTTTGTGTGGAGAATTTTCTCCATTATGCTCTTAGTAATACCAGTATCCAGGGGGAGGCGAGAGAAGGGGAGGGATAGTAGGGGAAAAAAAAGGAGGTACTCAAGAAAGGTACTCATGCTGGGCACAGGTGGCTCATGCCTGTAATCCTAGCTACTCAGGAGGCTGAGATCTGAGGATCCTGGTTCAAAGCTAGCCCGGGCAGGAAAGTCCATGAAATTCTTATCTCCAATAAACCACCGGAAAGCCAGAAGTGGCACTGTAGCTCAAGTGGTAGAGTGTTCGCCTTGAGCTGAAGAGCTGAGGGACAGCGCTCAGGCCCAGATTTTAAGCCCCATGACCCACCAGAAAAAAAAAAAGGTACTCATTACCTTACTCATGTAATTGTAACCCCTCTGTATAGCATCTTTACAATAACATAAAATTTAAAAAATAATACCAGTTCCCATTATGACAACCCAGCTTCTACATTCTGCTTTTCACTTTTACCCAAAATCATAGGATTTGGAAGAAGTAAAATAGCGATAGTTTATGTTTTTCTTTTTGAAATCTATGTATGCATGGTATTAGAATGCGCTTTGTTAAGGAATATCCAGGTTCATTTTTAATGTAAACTTGATGGACCTTTTTTTTTTGGGGGGGGGGGTTGGTCGTGCAGCTTGAACTCAGGGCCTAAGCACTGGTTCTCACTCTGACACACCCTTGCTCTACTCAAACTTTTGGAGAAAGTTGGTGTATCAGTCACTATCTAATAGAGTAAGAATTGGCCACTCACACACCTACCTTTGAGTGTTTCAATGTCATAGAAAGATGCTGCAAATCTGGTGGACCGATGGGATGCTGAGCGGGAGTCCATATTACTAAAACTTTTCAGCTTCAGCCGGCATCGCCACAGCTTCCAGTCCTCAGAGTGGGTGATTTGAAGCAGTTCTTCCAAACTAGAAGCAGCTCTCATCTGCTGCTCAGACCGCTCTAACACTGACAGAGAGGATTGCTTGAGACAAAAATATCAGTGGAAGAGAAAATCACTTAAGTTTTTTTTTTAACTTTCATTGCTGACACACATATAAACAGATCTGTTTAAATTAGAGATTATTCAAATGTATATCAATGCCTAGGTAAAATGATATCTCCTACCTTTGATCTACATTTTACCTATGTATGATTGAATCACAGATTTACTTCTTCTCCTGGGTGGTCAATACTCTCACAATAAATATTATGCTGGATTGACTGTGGAGTTAAAAAATGATATGTTCACATCCTAGTGCCTGCAATCTGTAAGTTTTACCTTTCTTGGGGAAGGGATATATGTAGATGTCACAGAATTAAGGGTCTTAAGATGATGTATTATCCATGTAAACCCTAAATACAATAACCAGTGGTCTTACAAGAGAAGAGGAAAAGGAGTAAATACAAAGGACAGGCCATGTGAAGACTGGCAGGGACTGAAGGAGTGTGGCCATAAACAAGGAGTTGTCTGGAATCACCAGAAGCTGGAAGACCTACGAGAAAGAGAAGGATTTTCTCTGTGCATTTGACATCTTGACTTCAAATATCTTTTCTGTTGTTTTAAGTCATTACATTCATGGTAACTTGTTACAGTAACCATGGGAAAGTAGCACAGATTTTTATCATACTAATTTTCTCACCAATGAAAAATTGCTTTCATATCTACTATTCATTTGAGAACCTAGGCCGTAAAGGCCTGGAGACTACAATCCAAAAAAGAAGGAACTATTTTGAAACCTTGAATCTCCTAACATCTAATCTTTTGTGTCAGTTTTTAATTTTAAAACATGTTTTGAATTTCAGAAATATGCTTTTTTCTTATAAAATGCACTCCTAGCCTTTTAAAAAAATTTACTTTCTTAGATATGTGGGTTTTAAAATTTTTTTTCTGTGAGATATGAATGAAGGAAATTTAATGAGAATGAAGGTAGGGAGAAGCTTGAGGGACACAAACAGGGTTTGTGGAATTGCTATTGGGTTAATGTGCTTGTCACAGCTTCTTTATCTAAGAACTCTAAGGATGAAACAGAAAAATTGTTAGGTCCTACTAAGCAACTCTGAAACTCAATTATTCTACATCAAGGCTCATTGGTCAATAGTCTCTCTTTTGATTACTCACTTCCTCTTCTAGTTAGACAATAAAACCACTTCATATCCAAGTTAATCTTCTAAATTAATGTTTTTCAGCTAAAATATTGTGAATACTACTTCCACAAGAAAGTGATGAAATCAACTAAATAGCTCTTTAAAGATTAAATTTCACTGTGTTGAAAAGATTTTTATTTATTGTGGTGAATTTTCATCTAATGCCATCCATAAATATAGGCCAATGTATGACTTCATAGTTCTTACAGGTTTCAGTTCTATTTCAAAAATACTTTTGAACTATTCAATCATGGAAACTCGGGTGAAAAATAAATTCAATTCTCCAGACTGAATTGAACTTATGGTTCATGGTTTGCTTTGTCATGAAAAATTGCAATATTTACCCAAGCACTCAAAATCATTTAAGCATATGTTTTCTCATAATTTAAAATCTAGTTTGGAAGAACTTAGAAATGACACCCAGTTATTTCACAATTATAAATGGAAATGGTAACACTTCAACAACATAGAAAACTAATAACTAATTCATCTAGAACATTCATTTACAAAAGGTCAAGAACAACTACCCATTGTTTCCAATAGATTTCTAGCATTGATTGATTTTTATACAATCAACTTTATATTACTTGCATGGGCAATACAAAAATAAGCATGAAAAAGTGTGAATATAGTCACCAATACATTCGTAAGTCATTGATTTCAGTGGTTTTAACAGTTAAATTTTGCCAGATCACTCACTTGAGATTCATCTCTACTATCTGATCCAGTGCTACTAATCAAAGCTACAATAACTAAAAAGCAGTCAGCAAGAGGAAGTGAAAGAGATAATCAGATCTTTTTTTTATTATAATAGATTATTTTTGCCAATGCAAGATGGTTAGCAATTTCGCTCCTAAAGAGCAAATCATTTTCTGGTTTCTTTGCTGCCACAAGTCAGTTTCTAAAATATGAGACTTAAAGTCTTTGCAATTCCACATTTTTTTATTTGTTTGTTTGCTGGTCATGGAGTATGAACTCTGGGCCTGGGCACTGTCCCTCAGCTCTTCAGCTCAAGGTGAGTGTACCACTTGAGCCACAGCACCACTTCTGGCTTTTTCTGCTTATGTGGTGCTGAGGAATTGAACCCAGGGCCTCATGCATGCAAGGCAAGCACTCTTCCACTGAGTCACCTTCCCAGCAATAGCTATACTGCTGGTTGGCTGGCTACACACTGTGCAGTTTGTTGCTGAGCTTCTCAACCTTGGCTTCACTTTGAATCTACCTGGAAAGAAGCTTCCAAAAAATACTGAACCTTGAGGCTCCTCTTCAGTCTCATTTCAAGTTGTGGGCTGCAGCTTTGTCATCAGGATTTTTAGTAGAAGCTAGGTAAGGGATTTAGAGCAGCCCTCTGAAATCTGTGCAAACTGTCTATCTAAAATTATGCCAACATGAAAGGTTTTTTAAAAAATACATCCAACTAATTTGAATGAGAACTCCTAATTTAGGGCATGCTGATAGTAATTTTCATTTCAAAGACCTGGTTAGAGCCTGAACTCTGTACAAGTCTACTAATCTTTAGTAGGAAATAAATGGCTTTCATAATGAGAAAGTGTTATTCTTTAAATTCCATTGACTTATACACTTGGGGTTTAAAATATTTTATGGTTATTGGGAAGTACATGATGGGGTTTGGATTGCAGGCCTGATGCTTGCTAAGCAGATAATATACCATTTTAGGTACGCCTGCAGTCCCTTTCTATATTGGCTATTTTCAAGATAGTGTCTCACTTTAAGCCCAGGCCAGCCTGGATTGTGATCCTCTTATTTGTGCTTCCCCTTGTCACTGTGATGACAGGTATGTACCACTGCTCCCAAACACTGATTGAGACAGAGCCTCAAGAATTCTTATACCTGAGCTGGCCTTGAAGCAGGATTTCTACACCGCCCCCCCTCCCGCAATCTCTACTTCCCAATATACTGGAATTATAGGCTTGAGACTCTGTGTCCAGCCTTAGTATGAATATCTTCTTAAAACAGATTTTTAAATCTCATATCAGCTGATTGCAGAGCATTTCCCAGCCTGTGTGACTTTTTCCAAGATTGGAGACCAAAGATACATTTTTTTTTTTTTGCCAGTCTTGGGGCTGGAACTCAAGACCTGAGCACTGTTCCTGAGCTTCTTTTGCTCAAGGCTAGCACTCTACCACTTGAGCCACAGAACCACTTCTAGCTTTTTCTGTTTATGTGGTACTGAGTAATCGAACCCAGGGTGTCATGTATGCTAGGCAAGCACTCTACCACTAAGCCACATTCCCAGCCCCCCAAAATTAATTTTTTAGTGAAGCAGCATGATGAGATTGGTTGCTTTAAGAAACAATCCTAAATGGCAGACAAAATCACCCTTCAAATTCCTCCAAATCTCAAACAGCCCATTCCTCGAAGCGAAGTTTTAAAAACATAGGTACTGCTTTAACGTACTGGGATTCAATGGAAAAGTATAAATGATATACCTATTGAACATTAATTAGACTGATTACTTTCTTTCTCCTCGTCCTCCCATGCCCCATGTCCCCTCCTCGTCTTAGCAACTTTTTGAGTTTCGCTGAAGGAGCATTTTGCGTGTCATCTTTACCTGGAGGGTAAAGGCTCAGCTAACTCCACTACCTTTTTCTGGTTCTGTTGTACCCATCATGCTCTGCTTCCCACTCTCCTCCTAGGTGTTCCTCCTCATTCACCTATCAAGGAATCTGCTTAAGTCCCATTAGACAGATTATCTGAGCAGAGAGAGAATAGATTTAAATTGTTCCAAAGTAGCTCTGAATGGTACAACATTTGGGAAAATGTGTACACAACTTGCTATTTTAAAAAAACATGCTAAAGTATATGACCCAGAAGTCTTCCTAGGAACGTACCTTGAGAGAGGAAGTCTATGTTCACACCCAAGTTTGTACATGATAGAAAAGGTGACACCAACCAAGGTGCATTGTGTTCATAGTTGGCTTGGTGAATTGAAACAACTTTGTACAACTATACAATGATTATAATAATAAATTTATTTTTTTAAATCCTAAAACAGATTGAGCCAGAAAAAATTGTACATGTGGACTTGTATTAGCTTTGTTTGTCATAGATAAAAACTTCATCCACGTGCATCATTCAGGAGGTGAATAGGTAAGAAACCCAAGTAATACTATTCAACAGTAAAAGAACTACTGGTAAGCATAGCAACTTGCATAGGTCTCAAAGGCATTAGTAGTGGAAGAAGCCAATCTCAAAAGGTTAGATATTCTCAAACTACCAAAATGATAATGATGAAAAACTTATCTGTAGTTGCCAGAAACAACTGTGTGACAAGTGCCTAGGGAACAACTCAAAGCTATAAACTATGGTCAAAAAAATTCCATTCCCATGGGCTGGGAAGGTGGCTCAGTGATAGAGTGCTTGCCTTGCATGCATGAGGCCCTGGGTTAGATTCCTCAGCACCACATAAGTAGAAAAAAAAAAGCCGGATGTGGCGCTGTGGCTCAAGTGGTAGAGTGCTAGCCTTGAGTTGAAGAGCTGAGGAACAGTGCCCAGGCCCAGAGTTCAGGCCAAAGGACCACCACCAACAACAAAAAATTCCACTCCCTCTCTCCACCTGCCAAGGGAGGAATCTGTTTCCTAGCTCTATCCATGTGACCTGCTTTGACCAATGAGACACACAAGACACAGTTAAGATATGATGCACGCAGGCTTGGAACTTACTTATGATTGCTTTGCTATCTAGCATTTCTGTCATCCCTTCAAGCTCATGCTTCTGTGAGCCCACTGATCAAAAGATCATGTCAGCTGGGTGCCGGTGTTTCACACCTGTAATCCTAGCTACTCAGAAGGCTGAGATCTTGAGGATCACAGTTCAAAGCCAGCCTGGGCAGGCAAGTCCATGAGACTGTTATCTCCAATTAACCAGCAAAAAGATGGAAGTGGTGCTGTGCCTCAAGTGGTAGAGTGCTAGCCTTGAGCAACAAAAGCTCAGGGACAGCACGCAGGCCCTTTTTAGTTAAAGCTGTATGGCCAATATGTGTACACACATGCATGCGTGCATGTGCGTGCGTGCACACACACACACACACACACACACACACACACACACACACACACACACACACAAATGATTTCTACTCATATCCTTGGCATGTATTAGTACATGCTACAAATGTTTACTGAGCTGAATCTAGAGTTTTCCTTTTTTCCAGGGAGAAGAATCCTCCTGACCAAAATAAACAAACCTGTTTTCCTTCAACATACTTTATCTCAGTGATTGGTCATAGCTGTTTCTTATCTTCTCTGAAGTTGTTTTTTAAGTATGAGAGCAAAGTCTAGGCTCTTCCGTTCCCTTAAAAGAGACATGATGGAAATCCATAAACTTTTTCTCCTCTTGCCCTGCCCAAGGTGTCTCAATATAATTCATGCCCTGATGTTGTTGTAAGACTGGGAATATTTTCATCATTTTAGAGATAAGGTATGCTCAGAAGCATTAAAGAGAGACCATATGTGATAGTTATTAATAGGGTTTACCATTATTTCCAGATTTCTATCTTCCAAGTAAAAGTTAAGATTGCACTTTCTAGTCTTTTGTGACTAGATAGGGTTGGAGGCCTAGTGATATTGATAAGAAATGACATGTCTGATTTCCTGCTGCATCTTTCTAGCTCAGTGAATAGGAGCAGGAGGCAATCAATAAAAATTTATTGGGAAAAATTTTGGATGAATTACTGAATACTGGAACGTTCTAATGAGAAAAAAGGGTTATTCTTTGTGAAAATTAGTATATCAAACAGCCAAGCCTTTCATGTCAGGGAGGTGAGGATTACGGAGTCTCTTTGGTTTAAAATGTCCTAGTCTGTTGGTAAGGAGTCTAAGACTTAGAAACTAGGAAAAGAGAAAAATACTCTCACTACCATAAAAGCAATCTGAGAAAAAATGTGTATCTCATCTCTGCCTCATTTCATTTCATCTCAACTTCCATTCCCAATTACAGTAAATTCACAACCTCTGTTCATATCACGTGCTAAGAATAAGTTGGGCCTGGAAATTTCTCAGAAACAATTTTACTGTCATTTTACCCATATTTCTCTAGCATCTTTATCTATTGTGGTAATAAATGTGCTTAAGAGCTTCAGATGCTCTCATTTTCAGATTGTTCATAAAATCATCTGTGGATATAAATACCCTAGTCTCATTCTAGAAATTTTCTTAGTAGTGGGTTTATACAAAAGGGTTATCCATAGGTCTAAGTCAGGATTTTTAAATTAAAAATATAAACTGGGTGCTGGTGGCTCATGCCTATAATCCTAGCTACTCAGGAGGCTGAGATCTGAGGGTTGTGGTTTAATACCAGCCCCGGCAGGAAAGTCTGTGAGTCTCCAATAGGCCACCAGAAAACCAGAAGTGGTGCTGTGGCTCAAGTGGTAGAATGCTTGCCTTGAGCTGAAGAGCTCAGGGACAGCACCCAGGCCCAGAGTTAAAGTCCCACACTGACAAAAATTTCTATAAAAGAAATAGCATTCTCAAGATATAAGATATATTGTATCTTTAGTACCAATAATATTTTATAGTAGCGTAAATGTTTCAACCACCAATAATCAGTTATAACTAAGAAGGTTAGAAGAGATGTCTGTGCCAAAGCTTAGAATTCAATATATTTAACTATAAGGTTATAAATGACAGTATCAGTGAAAGAATTGCTGATGTCTATGCCTGATAGAAAAGTGGATAAGAGCTCATTGGGTCATTTGAGTAGGAATAATGACAATGAACTTTCTTGAGTATGACTTTGTTAGTTCAAATAGGCTAAAGAAAAGGAGCATGCTGTGAGAGCTAGCCTAAGAAATACATTGCTTCCAGACACCAGTGCTGGGTGCTGGTGGCTCATACCTGTAATCCTAGCTCCTCAGGAGGCTGATATTTAAGATTTCAGTTTGAAGCCAACTCAGGCAGAAAAGGCTGTGAGATTTTTTTCTTTTGCTGGCCCTGGGGCTTGATCTCAGGGCCTGGGCTCTGTCTCCGAGCCTCTCTGCACTCTGAACTAGCACTCTGCCACTTTAGACACAGTGCCACTTCTGGCTTTTTCTGAGTAGTTTATTGGGGATAAGAGTTTCATGGACATTCTTGCCTGGGCTAGCTTTGAATCACAACCCTCAGATCTCAGCCTCTTCAGTAGCTAGGATGATAGGTGTGAGCCACTGGGACCCGGGTCTCTGAGTTGTAGTTGTTGTTGTTGTTGTTTTTATCTCCAATTAACCAGCAAAAAGCCAGAAGTGGAGCTATGACATGTGGTAGAACACCAGCCTTGAGCAAAAAGTTAAGAAGTAGTGCCCAGACCCTGAGTTCAAACCCTGGTACTGGCACATACCCACACAAATGTATTACTTATATTTTTCTCTGTTAAGGGAATACTATAACCAAATGATCCACATCATTATGTCTTATCACCCAGCCACATCTACTTCCATTTAGCTATAGGCAACTCTTTCCTACATATCAGACACAATTTAAGTTAACTAGGAATTGGTTGGATATAAGGTCATTATAGGGTGCTTCCCTTTCTAAAATGCAATTCTGACATTTAAGAGAAAAACTGCTAGCTGTATTCCAAAGCATGCACAGCCACATCTCCATGCATAAAAGTACATTCTTGGCACATGAAAATGCAGCTGCTTTTCTCCACTGCCCTGTTAAACAAATGGATATGGCAGGAGTAAAGCTAAAACATTTCAAACTTGGCTATGCCCAAGACAGCTAGAGAGTCATAGAGTCTAAGCTCTTTAAGAGAGCTGAACAACTTAAAAAATCATACATCTGCAATAATTCGGTCTCTTCTCTCATACTACCAAATAAACTGATGATTTTTTAAAGTATACTGGCATAATTGTAAAATTCATCGAGCCCAGCGCATTTAAAGGATTCCTGTTTTCAGACAAAGAAGCTGGGCATTTTGAAAAGTTGTATTTGCTTTACACAGCCCGAATGCTTACTCCTCTTACCTATGCTGAGAATAGGATTTCTTTTCACCTTCCATTTGGCACAGAGATCCAACATGATGGCTGGTGTGTATTTCAAAGTAGAAAAGATAGTAAGGTGAAGGCTATCAGACAAAATGACAAAAATCTCATGCCAGGCAAAGCCTTTCAGATATTTTTCCCTAATAATTTTAATACAGAGATTCTGCATATCTGTTTATGGGCCGCATGTGTATCTTCACTTTACATATCAAAAACATCACACTCCCACCAGGAAGGAATTCTCCTCTTTTGGGGTCAATATGGTCCCTGATGAAACGCGTGTTGCAAAACAACAGCTACAAAAACTCGTGACATATTTTATTGTCTGATCATAACCAGAAATTCCTAAACCAATAATGATTTAGCATCACTTCTGACAAAATAATTATATCTGAAACACTAGGAAAAATGAAATGTTTTAAAATGTCGCATCTTTTGAAATGTATAAAATTGGATAAAATACTGTTCCTACATCAGTAAACCCCATTTAAAATTTTTTTGAATTCCTCTCAATGTGTTAGGTTTTCCTTGATGTTTGCTCTTAGAACCAAAGAGCTGATTGCTAGATTTATTATTGAATTTCATACACATTTCAAAAAGCAAAGAGCCAAAACAAACTCTGAGAATGCATTTTTCTAGACAGTGGTGGTCCTTGATTTTAAAAAAACTGATAAAAAATATGCATAGAAAGCATTAACATTTTCAATTTACTAAAGAAATAGACTAACTTTTGCTGCTCACAAATTATCTGAAAATAAATGACCCACAAAATTATTCGTGTCATAAAAAATTCAGAAGGGATGATATTGATCAAGATACCTTGTACTCATAAATTGCCATGTCAAATTGAAACCCCTTTTTACAACTACTTAAAGATACTGAATAGAGAATACTAATGCAATTTAAAAATAAAATCAGTGCTTCATTAGAAAACCATGTGTCATTAGTATATACAATTGAGAGAAAGTTTTCCATCTGTAAGGATTTCAGAATGCTCATGCTATACTACCATCCACCCAATAATCCAAGAAACAATCACCAAGAAATTCCAACATTTTAAAATGCTCATGGCAAGAAACTTATTAGTCCTAAGAAACAGAGCTGTCAGTTACAAATGCAGGATACATCTTGTCCATTATTAATAGTGCTCTGCTCACTACTAATAGTGCTCTTCATTTTCACAATGCTTCCAAAATTGTGGGGGCAAAGAAAGAAAACCTTGCATAGAGGCCAGTTTACCACATTATAAACTGAGCTCACCTACCTTCACTGGTTCATGTTGATTACTGAAGCCTTGCACCAGCTGCACACAAGACACCATGAAAATATTCACCACTGCCCACTTTCTGTACATTTTGAATACTTCAATATCCATTGATAACTACACAGTTGAAAAAAGTCAGCCACAGAAAATTATTTCAAAAGGCATTCTCCAGAAGGAAAGTTCAAGGAAAACTTCACATAAAAAATCAGTTGTCAGTATTTTCACAATAAAAAAAATCAGTTGTGATCAAAATCCAATGAAATGACTTCAATTAGACAAGGTACTTTTTTGCACAATCTTAGGTAGGGGTGGGGAGAGAGAGAGAGAAACAAGAAAAAAAATGAAAATACTCTCACTCTCATGCTCCAAAAATAATCAAGAGGTGGATAAGTCTTCCATTTAAAGAAAGAACTCTACATTCAATTCATGTGCAACAAATTAAAAAAAAATCTCTTCCCTCTATGTCCAGGTTCTAGCTACTTTATAAAGAAGTGGTACGGCTACCAATGCTAGCAGTTACAGAAGGCTAGAACCCAACTCTAGATTAAAACTTCTTTTAACAACCTTCATGGAAGCTTGCAGAAGCATGTGTCTTAAATCTGACACAGATTTTGGCAGGAAATGCAGGGAAGTTTTGGCTGTAATCCTGCTGTATCTCCACCAATAGCAGGGCAATTTTTAAAACGGACTCCAATGCTCAGGGCTGCTGTTATTTTAAAGCAGATAACCTGTAACATGAAACCCCAGCATACTCACTGTCTTGATGATTGTATTGCAATGGGAGTGCATGGAAAGGGACCGCAAGTGCTCACAGATCTGCTACCAGTAACAAAGGAAGCAATCAAATATGCTTCATACAAACTCACAAATGCACAAAAAATAACAAAGGCATCTGTACACATATACAAAAGGCAAACATACCGAGAACAACTGCCCCTCTTCTTTTTTTCACATAATAGAAGCTTAATAACATCAGTCACAACAAAAGACACTGATTTTTAAAGAAGCAATGATGGTTTATTTGCATGTGCCAGGAAATAGCCAACATATAAATTGCTATAAAAATCATATCACTTTCATGTGGAATTCTTTAGAAACATCAGCTTAAGTGAGCTTTTGAAATGGAATGCTTTGTATGGTTTAACACCATGAATGTCCAAATTTTAGGAAGCATCAGATTCTGGTTTTGTGCTCTTCACTAGTTTCCAATCTTTGACTTCCAAGTTTTGGCCTTTTCAAACCCATTTTTTGCATTTCTGAAGTCAAGTATGGCTTCCGAAATTTCTTCATTGGTGTTCATCACAAATGGACCTAGGGCAGAAAGACACATTCACCAAGTTCTAGGTGACAGTATTATCATCTACCACTAGAAATGATACATATTTCTATAAGCTTCTAATTTGAAATGAAATCAAGGCCATCTGAGATAGTAGAGTTTTCTTTCACACTATTCAATTCTACAGGATTGCAATTTTAGTTTCTTGGTTAAGACTATGTTTGATCATAGATGCCCATAAAGACTGAACTTGAGATAAACAATGTGATCACATCTCACCCATCCATTGCAGGTAATGACAATTCCTTTATTCAAAACATTCTTAGAGAGAAAAAAAAATTAATGACTTCAATTTGAGCTTTTTTTTGGAGGAGGATTTTTTTTCTGTTTATAGTATATTTATCACTTTCCTTCTCTCACCTCTAAAACAAAACAAAAACAAAAACAATACAACACATACAGAGCAAGGCAGAAGATGAGAAAGAAGGTCAAAGATAGTTAATGTAGGCGGGTGCTGGTGGCTCACACCTGTAATCCTAGCTACATAGGAGGCTGAGATCTGAATATTGTAGTTCAAAGCCAGCCTGGGCAGGAAAGCCCATGAGACACTTATTTCAACGTAACCATCAGGAAACCGGAAGTGGCTCAAAGTTGCCTTGAGCAAAAAAGCTCAGGGACAGTGCCCAAGCACTGAGTTCAAGCCTCTTGACTGACTCCCAGCATCAAGGAAGGAAGGAAGGAAGGAAGGAAGGAGGGAGGGAGAGAGGGAAGGAGGGAGGGAGGGAGGAAGGGAGGGAAAGGAGGAAAGAGGCAGAGAAGGAAGGAAGGAAGGAAGGAAGAAAAGCAGAGAAAAAATATACCTTATGACCCAATACAAAACTGCTATGTTTTCCCTCATAGTTCCAAGATCACTGTCTAACCAAATAAGTACTTAAGAAGTGTATCTTTTTTTTAAGAGAGTGGAGAATTCTAATAGTGAAACTTCTTTGAAAAAGAAACTTACAATCTAACAAAATGAATACCAGAAAGGTGGGACTTGGGATGTTAGGAGGGAGTGAGGTCAAGGAGAAAGGGACAGATGAATGAAGAGAGGAAGAGTTGGTGAATAGACTCATATTATTCAATGCACACAGATGAAAACAGAACCAGGTAAATTGAGGGGATGGGTAAGGTTGGTAGAGATGGAAGAAAATGAGCAAAGGGGTGATATTGATCAAGACACATTGTACTTACAAGCTGACATGATGAATGGTAACCCATTTGTACAACTACTTAAAGGATAACAAAACTAGACTTCTACCTTATCTGGCTAGAATAGTTCTTTTCTTAATTGAACAAACTAAAGAATAGTACAGCGAGTCTCTGTCAAAAACAATCAACCAGCCAGCCAAAGACAACATAAAGACCGAACCAGAGTCCACAATTGCCCCTATAAATCTAACACACTAAGAAAGTTCGCCTCCCATTTCCATCTTTCTCAATTGTCTGCATCCACCACTCTCTGCACATTATGTTTCTATTTATATATATTCAATATTGGTTTTCTAGGAAACACAGACTTTCTATATACCTCTTACCATGTTTAAATATGTTGGACTAACCCTCACAAGCCAATGCTTTGCATCAGTTTCAACTACAATGGGTAAATATTTTATTTTCTTTCCTCAATACCCACATTACAATATTCACTAATGAAATTACTAAACTGAAAAAGGGAAAAGAAAAGAGAAGGATGGCTATAGGTCTTTAGGTTCATTTCTGGGTTTTCAATTCTATTCCATTGGTCCTGAGGTCTGTTTAAGTGAAGTAAGCCAGGCCCAAAGAAACATAGGTCCCATGGTTTCCCTTCTTTGCAATAACTGGTATATGTCTGAGTCAAGCAGAAAAGGTCAGATAAATTGATGTTAGGGGAATGAACCCCAAGATAAGTATTCAAATGTTTTTTTTTCTTTCATGCAATTGTTTCTAACATATTTATGATTTCTATGTTGCTTTGTATGTCCCTCCCCCACGGTATAACCCCTGCTTTCACTGTATTTGATGTTGCTGTAATTTGTGGAGGGGAAGGGAAAAAACAAATCGTTTAACTAGGGATACAGGTGGACCCATTGAAACAATGAGATGTATGAGTCATTATGTCAAAAAACGAACTCTACAACTTTGGTGGGGGGGAGGATCAAATGGGGGGAGGTAGGGGAAGTATGGGAAGGGATGGGAAGGGGAAACAAAGAGGAGGCAACAATGCTTTATAAGAAATGTACTCGTTATCTTGCCCATGTAATTGTAACTCCTCTGTACGGTATTCTCACAATTAAAAAAAAAAGAAAAGAGAGAGAAATTAAAAATAAATCACCACGTCATGCATTTCCTCTGACAATAGCAGAGATGAAATGATATCCTTAAATTTGCTGATGGGGAGACAAGTCAAAAAAGCCACTTTTCCCAGTGGTGCTAAATATACACATTCATCTAAAAAACAAAGTTGCTGAGGAAAATCAGGATCATTTTGAGCTTACCATGTTGGACAACTGGTTCTCTTAATGGCTCCCCAGCAATTAGGACAAAGTGGCATCTCTCTGGATCCTAAATTGAGGAACAAAATCAAGACCCAATCAACAAATGCCAAATTAGGAACAATTTCTAGTTGACATGCCAGTGTATGCATGATATTCTTAATTTTGAGTACAAATTCCAAAAATATGTTGGGTAGAATACTCAAGGTGGACATATTTACTCCTTAGGATATGTAGAAACAACTGGAACTCAAAAATAAGTCCAGTTTGCCAAAATATTAACATTCTTTAATTAAAACAGGGTAATGTAAATTAAGATCTTCTTTAAATGTTAAAATCTTTATGACAAATTATATAATTGAACTGGATTACTATAAGAATTATGGTTTCTCAGCAACAATAATTTTAAAGGGAATATTACTTATATAAACCCCAAATAAAATTTTATTACTTTTGACATTATAATTAGTTTCAGATATGCCCCTGAAATGTTGCACTAAAAGAGCCTTGTGAAAACAGCGTCTATGGGACAGTTTTTTTTTTCTGAAATGGTCTTAGATATTATTGTCACTGAAGTTTTTCTATAGAATTAAGGAATGGCTTTTTCCAAGCTGGAAAAGATATTAATTTATAATATTCAGGGCTCATGTGGATTCAGGGAAATATATAATTTTATACATTTGGGGGAGGGTTGAAATTTGGGCAGTAATCTCCCCAGAGAGCAATGTGAAAATATTGTTGAAGGCCTCCAATTATTACTGATGTTTCCTGATCCAGGAAGACCAGTGTGGAAAACAGAGTGTAAGAGGTTACTCAGTTCCAGTTTCTTTAGTATAGCACTAATAATCAGGATGACCTTGATCAAGATGCACTGTACTCATAAATAGACATGTTGAACTGAGACCTCTTTGTACAACTATTTAAAAAGAATAAAAAAAATTGGAAACAGCCAGGTGTTGATGGATCATGCCTGTAATACTAGCCACTCAGGAGACTAAGATCTGAGGATCATGATTCAAAAGCCAGCCCAGAAAGGAAAACCTGTGAGATGCTTATCTCCAGTTAACCACCAAAAAGCCACAAGTGGAGCTGTGGCTCAAGTGGCAGAGCTTTAGCCTTGAGCAAAAGTAGCTTGAGACAGAGCCCGGGCCCTGAGTTCAAGTCCCAGGGCTGGCACAAAAAATTGGAAACACTTCTCCAATAATAAATAAATGGTTAAATGACTATGATGATGAAATGGTAGTTGGCTATTGAAATTCATTTTGTTAATACATGTTTAAATTGCAAATGTCGAAAGGTACATGGCAAGTTTTTAAGCTATCAAAAAATAGTGTACATTATGATTTTTCATATTTAGAAAAATCAAGGAATCAGCTATTAAGAGATTAGGAAAAGAAACACTAAATTGGAGCATCAGTGATGAAAGATTTTAACTCTGAGCCTGAGAGCTGTCCCTCAGCTCTTCAGCTCAGGTTAGTGCTCTACTAGTTGAGCTACAGTGCCACTTCCGGTTTTCTGGTGGTTTATTGGAGAGAAGAGTTTCATGGACTTTTGTGCCCAGGCTGGCTTTGAACCTTGATCTTCAGATCTCAGCCTCCTGAGTAGCTAGGATTACAGGTGTGAGCCACCAGCGCCTGGCAAGTTTATATTTTTTACAGCTTTTTTGTCCTTTTAAAACTTGCTACCAGGATGGTAAGGGGAAAATAAAGGAGGAGGCAACAATGCTTGATAAGAAATGTACTCATTACCTTGCTCATGTAACTGTAACCCCTCTGTAGGGTATTTTCACAGTAATAAAAAAAAATTCTTGCTACCATGTGTTCATTTTAAAAATTAATAAGATGGTCTGGAAGTATAGCTTATTAGTATAGCACATGCTTAGCATGCATAAACCCTGGGATTCAATTTCTCATCCCACCCACCCAGCTCCCAAAAAAGATACATTCTCTATGTGTATTGTTTTGTGCTGGTCTTAGGGCTTGAACTTGGGGCCTAGACACTGTCTTTGTGCTTTTTCTCTCAAGGCTGGCACTCTACCACTTGAGCCAAAGCTCCACTTCCAGCTTTTTAGTAGTTAATTGGAGATAAGAATCTCATAGACTTTCCTGCTTGAGCTGGCTTTGAATCATCATCATCAGATCTCAACTTCCCAAGTAGTTAGGAGTATAGGCATGAGCCTCCAGTGCCAGGCAAATTAAATTTGTGTTAAGGGAACCACATAATAAATAATTTCTGATTAAAAATAGGACGATTTCCTCATATAATTATTCATACATTTTATGGGGCTGAGAAGGTGGCTCAGTGGTAGAGCACTTGCCTTGCATGCATGAGGCCCTGGGTTCGATTCCTCAGCACCACATAAGCAGAAAGCAAAAAAGCCGGAAGTGGTGCTGTGGCTCAAGTGGTAGAGGGCTAGCCTTGAGCTGAAGAGCTGAGGGACAGCGCCCAGGCCTAGAGTTCAGGCCCCACGACCGGACCCCAAAAAAATTATTCATACATTTTAAATAATTGATATGTCATATAACTGTCAGTACCTATTTTTCCTAAATCGTGCTTATATCATAAATATATAACTTTTTGATAAACATTATTGTTGAAAACTGGTGCTTTGATTTGAAATTAAGGAGAATTAAGATACTGTTGGAGGTGAAATATCTACCTACCTATCTATCTGTCTGTCTGTCTATCTATCTATCTATCTGGAAAGAGAGAGACTTTTGTGATCTCACAACTTAGTAAAGAGGCTCCATATGTGTTAGGGACTTCAGAACAATGGTAGAAGATAATGCATACTTTGAGTGAGGCAGTATCTCTGGAGGCTGATCTAACCTAAGATAGCTCAAATTAGTGCTAAGGTAGAGAAAGAAAAAAATATACATGAAGTATGTTGTATTATGCCACTAGGTGAGGACGGAGCTTGCCACATTTCTTACTGAGTGCCCACCAGGTTTTAGGAACTTGGACCATGATTGCTAGCAAGAGCAATCAAAGAACTACTATTAGGGAAAGAAGCTGGGGAAAGGACTCTATGAGAAATTGTGCCTTCTAAAACTGTGATGTTTAGGGCTGGGAAGGTGGCTCAGTGGTAGAGTGCTTTTCTTACATGCATGAGGCCCTGGGTTCACTTTCTCAGCACCAGATAAGCAGAAAAAGCCGGAAGTGGCACTGTGGCTCAGGTGGTAGAGTGCTAGCCTTGAACTGAAGAGCTGAGGGACAGTGCCCAGGTCCAGAGTTCAGGCTCCACAATCCTCCCCCCCCCCCCCTCCACATACACGGTGATGTTTAAATGAGTATACATGTAACAATTTTAAATACTCACTACAAAATATTTATTTTCAAAAAATATTTATTTTCTATGGAAAGAATCAATTTTAGTATGAAACAAGAGTCATAATTTATAAGTTGATCTGATAAAGGATGACATTTAATAGTGTTTTTGTTTGGTTTTTGCCAGTCGTGGGGCCTGAACTCTGGGTCTGGGCGCTGTCCCTCAGCTCTTCAGCTCAAGGCAAGTGCTCTACCACTTGAGCCACAGTGCCACTTCTGGATTTTTCTGCTTATGTGGTGCTGAGGAATCAAATGCAGGGCCTCATGCATGCAAGGCAAGCACTCAGCCTCTGAGCCACCTTCCTAGCCCCATTTAATAGTGTTTTAAGATGGTTTCTTTGTTTTTTGTTTTGTTTTTTTAGCCAGGGGAAAGGAGGTATACTTGGAGTTTAAAGTTCAAGAAGCAGAGGAGAAAGGTTAAAAGAGAAGCAAAGAAAGCTTATATCATGTGGGTGCTGACTGCTCAGCATGTACGTTCCTTAATCGAAAGATGAGTCTTTTGGGAGAGATGAACATACTGTACAGTTTACACATTTTGAAATGATAAAGTCCTAAATATGAAAGGCTTTACTATTTTTATATTACTCAAATAAAATGATGGATTCCCAACTATTATTTGGACAGTACGATGAAAGGACACAAGCATTTGGTCTAAAATAAGAAACTATAATACTTTGGGAGTTACAAAGTTTGGTTCTCCATCATTACAGAAATATGGAGGGTGTTCCAAGTTTCTTTCAATGAGTTTTGCACAAATTTAACTTTTTAATGTTCTCATTTACTTTAATCTAAACCAGATCTCTGTTGTGTCTTTTTCTTTTTCTTTTTAATTTTCCTTAGTTGGTCTTTCTTAAAATCTGATAATCTCTCTGGATATTCAATAGAGTGCCAATAGGACTTAAAGTCCCAGCTGCTGTTATCTTGAAAATCCTCATGGTGACCTTGCCCATAGTGTCAAATGATGAAAATCATACAAAGATGTAGAGAATGAAAGACCAATTTCAGACATGAGATCTCATGTGGTTCTAAGTCAATGCCTGATTTGATAGGGGAAAACACTCATTACACAGTAACAGGGGTCTGCTTCTTCCTGTTGAATTACTCCAACTAAAACGAATGCTCTTTGAGAGGCCAGATCATATCTTTTACTTTGTTATACCTTCTCACAGTCCTAATTCAGAATCATGTCCCTTATAACTTACCTAAAAGCTCACTTTTGCCAAAATGTATCTTGAGGTTCCATCCACTGATACCAATAATGAATGATCAAAGCCCAGATAAATGTCCTATGATTCACTTAATAATTTCAAAGTATGACTTCCAAACCCAGTATATTTGATTTAAATATATAGCTTGAGGTAATAGTGGAACTTTGAAAATGAAGTGAAGTGTATGCAATTGCATTTATTGTAGTGATATGTTACCTGAAATTACCAGAAAGAAACTGAACTTAAGCATGGTTTAACTACATCTAACTGTTCTTACTAAACTTCATTGTACTTCTTGGGCCAATGGAAAGATATGCACAAAACAATTAACTGTTACCAGTTCTGCAAAATGGGTAGTTTCCTTTTTTTTTTCAAAAAAAATCTTTCTGTAGTTGTTCAGAGGAGTTGCCATTTCTTTGTCAATGTCAGCCCTTTGGAGTGGTTTCTTATATTATGAACGTCTATATTTATAAGCAAGAAAGTTGTACCTTGTTTTAAAGGAGTGTTTTGCTTTATTTCTCTAAATGGCTATTGCCATTAAATGTTATGTTTAATCCAACTTTAATCATTGTTGTTTTAATCAATTATCCATAAATGGTGTCAATTTAAGAGCATGGCTACTCTCGGGTATGGTTTGAATGATTAACAATGAGGAACTGATTGTGTACTTAGTTTGCTCATCTAACAGGACACTAGTATAAATACTGTGCTAAACATGAGATGGAGCGTTTCATAGCAAGCTCATGTGTTCCTAATCATGGTGCCACAGGGAGCAACTATCATTCAGGAAAAAGTCCAAAACACCAACTAAGGACCAAAGTAGCAAAGAGAGCCTGAGCCCTTGAAATAGAGGCTGTACCAGGGTGACTGGTATCAGTCCAGGATTAATGGCCAGAGTAGCCTGGGGTTCATACTAATCTATGAAACTGGTTAAAATTTAAGTCTGTTTTGAAGCCATGTGGCTCAGATTTCCTCTAAAAAATCAAAAGTTCTGACCCAAAGATATTTAAAGGTAACACAAACCAAGACCCCATGACTTTGCTATCTGCTGTAGCCAACTTTGGAATAATGACAGAAGGTGATGTACCCCTGAGTAAGGAAGGGTCGCTCAAGTCTGAGCTAACTGAAGATAACTCAAAGACATGCTAAGATGGAGAAAAGAAACCTGGGGAAAGAGAGAAAGCATGACTTCCTATATCGTCCTATTCTTGCATTCTTTTCCTGTCCTAGAGACTGGCCACTCTAGAGGAAATTGCCTACATTGCTGATGGATGATGGAGATGAGTGTGATGATTGATGATACAGTAAAATTGCAGGAAAACAGTGTGAAGGAAGTCAGGGGTTATCTTATTCTTATTCTTATTCTTGATCACAATTTAGTGCTATACTAGGAAGTCACATCTTGGCTCCTGATTGAATCTTCAGGCTAAGGCTGGTTCCACATGAGGATAACTCTAGCCTAGAGCCTGACTGAATAGGACTGTAGAAGCTGTTAAGTACCCTTTGGTTGGGCCTGAGGTTTAAACCTAACCTAATAACATGTATGTGGGATGACTGTCTGTCAAATTAGGCCTTTGGATGTGCAAACTTTCCAGTTACTACTATTTTCCAATGTACTATGCCAGGGACTGGTAAACTTTCCTTGTCAGGAGAATTTTAGATTTTGTGGCTCATTCAATCTCTGTCACAACTCAATTTTCCCTTTATGGTAGGAAACAATAGGTAGAAAATAGCAAGTGAATGGGTAATGGCTATAGTTTAGTAACACTTTATTTAGAAAAACACATTTGGATTTGGCCTATTGAATATCACTTATTCTCCTCTATGCTAGATTTGGAATAGACTTTTAATGTAAGTAATCTCAAATATTCTTAAAAAAAATCTCGTGCACTTGGCTTCAATTATTTCAATTTCAAAGACAAAGCTTGTGAAGCTCAGAAAGGTTTAGAGACATGTCCAAAGACTCAGCTGACAATGTGACAAAGCCAAGATTTAAATTTTTACAGCCTCTTTCCTATTGTAATCTAAGGGGGAGTTTCTACTTACTATGGGTATAAGAGACACGTTCTATTTAAATAAGAATTTTTGTGCTAGTACTGAGGCTTGAATTCAGGGCCTCCACGTGCTGTCCTTTAGCTTTTCCTCTTAAGACTAGCACTCTACATTTGAGTCACAGATTCACTTCTGGATTTTTGATGGTCAAATGGAGAAAAGGATCTTATGGACTTTCTTGCCTAGGCTGGCTTCAAAGAGCAAGCCTCAGATCTCAGCCTCCGGAATAGATAGGATTACAGATGTGAGCCACCTGTACTCAGGTAAATGTGAATTATTTTAAATAGGTTTTTTTTGTGTTGTTGTTGTTGGCTATGGGGCTTGAACTCAGGGCCTGGGCTTTATCCCTGAACTCTTTTTCCCAAGACTAGGGCTTTACAACTCTGAGCCACCGCTTCAACTCTGGTTTTCTGGTGGTTAATTGAAGCCAGGATTACAGGTGTGAGCCACTGGTGCCTGGCTTTTAAATAGCACTTTCCCCACAAGATCTTTTTAAGGTTTTGAGAGTGCAGGCTATACTTCTTTATGTGAATTGCACATGTCCCTTTGGCGGCGTGTGCTGTTTGTTAGGGGATTGCTGACTTCTGGCTGTATACTTTTCTGTTCTGGCTGTCTCCCTGTCCTTCTGGTTCTCCTCATCACTTTCTTTTTTTTGGGGGGGGGGGTCCGGCTGTGGGGCCTGAACTCTGGGCCTGGGCGCTGTCCCTCAGCTCTTCAGCTCAAGGCTAGCGCTCTACCACTTGAGCCACAGTGCCACTTCCGGCTTTTTTCTTTTTGCTTATATGGTGCTGAGGAATCGAACCCAGGGCCTCAGGCTTGCAAGGCAAGCACTCTACCACTGAGCCACCTTCCCAGCCCCATCCTCATCACTTTCTTTTTGGTGTTTTGTTTTACCTCCGACATCTTAATTATCTGTAATGTGTTAGACAGATAATGTCTAGGAAGAATGGAGGTTGTTGAGTCAAACCGCATACTGTTATATACTAAGCTGATGTCTGCAGATTCTGCTCTGTGTATAACTCCCATGCCTCCTTTCTGTATTGGGTTGAAATATGTGAAACTACCATTTATATAGGTCAAAAGTGATGACTTGATATGGTTCAACTTAATATTAGAGGGCACAGATTCTGAGATCTGGTGTTCATAGGATTTCTTTTTTCCTTTTCCTTTAGAGTTCATAGAGGTGCTGTAGATGATTAAAGTATTGGAAGGTGAGCTGTCAGGAAAGTGAGCTAAGGTACAATAATTCCTGAAAAATCCCTCTATATTAGATCATTCCGGGGTCAGAGGGCTGGGAGAAGGTCAGACTGTCTCTCCATCAGTCACCTGTACACTGAAATAGTTCTTATCCCTACGTTTCAAAATTTATCTTTTCAGGAGCTTTTGCAAAATGATCTCAATTCTCCTTAACAGAGTGACACAAAGCACTGAGATGACTTAATAAATAGACTGTAGTGAAGGTCAGTGAACTGCTCAACAGAATGAAACAGACATAAAAGGAAACTGGAAATTTATTTTTAAAAAATACCTCTCAAGCCTCCTTAAATATTAGAAATGTTACTTAAAAAGCAGAGGTCTGTCAAAAAGAACTTTAAAACACATGACATACTAGTCTCAGTTCACAATGGGGATTCTTTTCAGAGGGCTCTAGGTGAGCATGCAGATCTTATTGATACTGTCACAGTGTGTGCCTACTTTTACTTATGCTAAAAGCAAAATAAATCAGTTTTACAATGAAGAAGTATTGCCTCCAGATTCAAGTTTGTAGGACTAAACCATGTGTTCTTTATATGATTCCTAAATATTAGGAATTACTTTGATATAGGTAGAACATTAATGAGCCCCAAGATAAGGACACAAGGACACAAGTGGTTTTTTCTTTCTTGCTATTGTTTCTAACATATTTATAAGGTGATTGTTGCTTTTTATGTCCCTCCCCCACAGTATAACCCCTTTTTTTCACTGCATTTGATGCTGGTATAATTTGGGGAGGGGAAGGGAAAAAACAAATTGTTTAAATAGGGATACAGGTGGACTCATTGCAACAATGAGATATACAAGATGCTATGTCGAAAAACGAACTTTACAACGTTGGTAGGGGAAAGGGAGAATGTAGTCCTGGAGATGTGAGGGCAGGGATGGGAGGGGCAAAACAAAGGAGGAGGCAACAATGTCTGATAAGAAATGTCCTCATTCCCTTGCTCATGTAATTGTAACCCCTCTGTATGGTATTTTCACAATAAAAACTTATTTAAAAAATTAAAAAAAGAAACAAACAGAAATAGGAAAAAGTATTGAATGGGGTCAGAAAATCTGTTGCATAATTTATTCCCCAAAGAAGACAAATTTTCTAGCTTTATATCATCATTACATATGTTCTCAGAAGAAGACAGAATATATAATTTAAGAAAACGGAAAAAAAGGAGACAGAACTTTTAGCCAGGTGCCGGTGGCTCCCACCTGTAATCTTAGCTACTCAGGAGGCTGAGATCTGATGATGCAGTTCAAAGCTGGCCTGGACAGGAAAGGTTGTGAAACTCTTATCTCCAATAAACCACCAGAAAACTGGAGGTAGTGCTGTGGTTCAAGTGGTAGAGCGCTAACCTGGAGCTGAGGAGCTGAGAGACAGTGCTCAGGCCCAGAGTTCAAGCCCCATTACCGACCAAAAAAAAAGAAAAGAAAAGAAAAAAGAAAATGGAATGTTTTCCATACTTACCTTGTTCTCTACCTGGACATTGTCACCTTCTCCAAGCACTGCTGTGTGATGAGGTTCTATTTTTTGTTGTGCATCATCAGGCCCTACAAAAATATGACCCACTAACTTCAGTACTTATTACTATATATTTTTCCTATGACCACACGTTTGGCCAACTACTTAGCATCATAATATTGGTTTCAATTTTAGAAATAACAAACTTCAGGATCTCCTTAAATCTCTTGTTGACTCTATTTGTTACCATTAACAAAACTTGTTGCTTTTCAGTGAAGGGAAGAATAGGGAGGTAAATCCTGCATTTTGCTTTCAGATAATTTTTTATTGTCATGCTCAAATTGTTCAATTGATATGCAAAGTCTTTGATATTACATGTCCATAAGAAAGAAGCATATTTAGAGGCTGAAGGCATGGCTCAAGTGGTAGAGTGCATCCATACCGAGTACAAGGCTCTGAATTCAAACCCCAGTACCACCAAAAAAACAAAAAGAGAAACAAAGAAAAAATATACATAGAAAATTATCAAATGCCATCAATAATTCACACCAAGACATATTTATTGAGCTTCTAAAATGTCCTATTGCTAGGGGAAACACATAAACATGTAAAAACAAATTCCTTGCATACAAATAATCCATAGTCTTATGAGAGGCCAACACAATAAACCAGGGAATAATTCAACTGGAAAATAAGTTGGATAGCTATTGAACAACAGGTATAAGACAATGAATACATACCCTACATGTTATGGGAGCGTGTCTTCAGGATGGATATGATTTCAGCTCTTTCATACTAAAGTTCACAGATGAAATATTAACCAAATTGCATACATACAAGGCAGCTGGTTTCATGCATCTTGAATTCATGATACTGCTTTAATGCAGTGACAAAAGGTAGCACTCAAAAAATAATACTGAATTGAGTCAGGCATTGGTGGCTCATGCCTGTAATCCTAGCTACTCAGGAGAGCTGAGGACAGTATCTCAAAGCCAGGCCAGGTAGGAAAGTTCATGAAATGTATCTTCAATCAACCAGCAAATGCCTGGAAGTGGAGGTATGGGCCAAGTGATAGCTGATGGGAGCAGCTTACCATTCTGGGTGTCCGGGCACCCGTTGCAAGATATTCACCATAGAATGAAGAGTATCAGTCAATCACGTGGGTTTAGCAGGCGGGAAGGAATTAAAAAGGACTTTTTGGTAAGCCTACGCGTGTTACAGGAAGGTTGTTACCTGTAAGAGCCAATGACTGTGTATCACTTGTGAAAAAGTGAACTAGTGAAAAAGCCAACTAAGAGAAATCTGAGTTCAAGCCCCAGTATTGGCTCACACCCCAAACAATAATAACAACAGTGATGATGAAGAAGGAGGAGGAGGAGGAGGAGGAAGAGGAGGAGAATTGGTATTTTTTTTTTTGGTATCACCATCAGAATAGCTTTCTTGACTACAATGTTCATTGGTTAGAAACAAAGAAGTCAGCTTGTCCAAAGAGTTCTTATTCTAATTTTATATGGAATGCAGCTTCTGCCCATCCTCTCTGCTCATACATGAGAGGGATCATGGGGCTGATCCTGAAGGAGCCATTTGAAATGTCCAATCATAAGATAGACCTTCTTTGTAGAAACTAGAGTCAGATTTCTAGGTTCATGCTTTTATATGTACCTTCACCTTCTGGGTATTATATTCAATTTTCTTTTTTGAGGTTTTAGGGATTGAATTTAGGGCCTTTGCTTGCTAGGCAAGTTCCCTACCGCCTGAGTTAAACCCACTGTAGGAAATCTTTTAAAACAGGGTCACAGAAAGTTAAGCCTGACTCCAGCTCCAATTCTAGGCCATTCCTGTGATATTTTACCCATCTGGTTTTCTCCTGCACCTAAAATAAGTCTTGAAGAAAATATATCCTATTGTTTCTAACTACTTTCAAATTTAAGTAGAGCCAAATCAGATAATAAATAGTTTCCATTTGGGAAGCTTTGCCAGGAATGTTAAATCTAATAACACAGCTACGGAAAATTGAACCAAAGACAATGTAATTGCAATTTTTGCCTAAAAAGTTATAAAAGGTCAAAATACTTATTTTTAATGTAATTGTACAAAGGGATTATCAGTGAACATTTCAACATTCAACATTTATAAGTACAATGCATCTTGATCAATACGACCCCTTTCATCAATCTTCCCAGTGTGTGTGTGTGTGTGTGTGTGTGTGTGTGTGTGTGTGTGTGTGGTGGTACTGTGGTACTGGAGCTTGAACTCAGGGCCTGGGCACTCTTAGCTTTTCATTCCAAGCTGGCACTCTAGCACTTATGCCAGAGCTCTACTTCCTCAAAACATTTTAAAACCTGTTTTTAAGTTAATGCTCTGTCTTCAGTGTGTGATTAGCTACACTTTGACCTTTCTTACTCTTTTTCTTCTCTTTATAAGAACTACTGTCCCAATTATTCTCTGCCTCATGGTAGTTTCATGATACAGATGACATTCTCAATTTTATGTATGTACTTGAAATGCTTTTATCTGATAGAAGACTGTTAACTGAAAAAGATAGGCTCAGACTTTGAAGTGTAAACATTCATTTGTCTGAGAATCTTATAGTTCAGATGGATGGGCTAGCTGGATTGAAAAAAGCATTGTCTTTCTTTTTAAAGTTTACCTACAATGTACCATCTAAATATCCTTCTAGATATTTGTGTTCACTAAATTCACTATCATCTCCCTCATTGGCTAATTGAAGGCATTTCTGTAAAAATTCACTTTCATTAAATATTTCTCTTGTTCTGAAAATAACATCTGTCTACCTACCTTTCTCTCTATTAATTTATATGTTATCTAATGAAATTACATAATTGCAAGTATTGCTACAACTGGTACAAACAGATGGAAAAGAAACACAACTACCTGTGAATTTGCTACAGCTCAGCTGATGGGAGCAGCTGACCATTCTGGGTGTCCGGGCACCCGTTGCAAGATATTCACCACAGAACGAAGAGTATCAGTCAATCTGGTGGGTTTAGCAGGTGGGAAGGAATTAAAAAGGACTTTTTGGTAAGCCTATGTGTGTTACAGGAAGGATGCTACCTGTAAGATCTAATGACTGTGTCAAACTCGGAATCACAAATATAAAAGTTGAGTGTAAACTAAACATGAATAACTACTGATTTTAGTAAGTGTGAACAATGTACTGCCATTGTAAGCCAGTTACCTTTCATTTCAATCATAACAGATTATATTTTCAGATTGTTAAATACATTTTTAAGTACCAACCATATATTGGTATTGGTCCTTTAAGGAGACTGGCATTCAAACTGACAAGCTATATTCTTTTGCTCTTTGCATTGATGTGTAGTGTTGATGTGTAGCGTTATTTTCTTAACTTCATGGAATGGATTAAGTAATTAGTATCCATAGGATATATTAGCTTCATGATTACATTGTTTTTCTTTGCATTTTAATTTTTTGTGACAGTACTGGAGCTTGAACTTTGGGCCTTTTGCTTTTTTACTCAAGGCTGGCATTCTACCATTTGAGTCACAGCTCTACTTCAGGCTTTTTGCTGGTTAACTGGAGATAAGGGTCTGATGGACTTTCCTGCCTGGTCTGGGCTTGAACTGTGATCCTCAGAACTCAGCCTCCTGAGTAGCTAGGATTACATGTGTGAGTCACTGGCACTTGGCTTTTTTTTTTTTTTTTTTGCTGGTAGTGGAGCTTGAACTCTGGGCCTGGCCACTGTTCCTCAGCATTTCAGCTCAAGGCTAGCGCTCTACCACTTGAGCCTCAGTGCCACATCTGGCTTTTTCTGCTTATGTTTTGCTGAGTAATGGAACCCAGGTTCTCATGCATTCAAGGCAAGCACTCTACCACTGAGCCACCTTCCCAGCCCCTCTTTATTTTTTTTAACATATGCTGCACACACTCCAGGTGAGGGATGGTCAAAGAACTTTCTGCCTCCATATAAGATGTCTATGAATGGATTCTGTCATTGAACCACCAACTTAGCAGGTTCTCCATTGCTGAAAAAAGCAAGTGTATAAAAATCAACAAAGACATTGGAAAGGCATAAAATAAGTACTTTCAAATGAATCTCAAATGAGTATTATTTTCAGTAAGAAAATGTTGAATTTACTCGCTTCTGCTCTGTTAACTTCTTTTCTTCATGATATTATTACAAGACAGTTACATGGTCCCAGTATAGTTACCTTGAATTGAAAGTATTCGAATGCCCTTGCAAGCAGTTAGCTGACTGGCATTGTCTATCATGCAAAGTTTCACTTACTTCCTGTGTCAATCTTTTCAATGACTCTCATCGATTTCCATTTTATTCAGCCTGTCCAGAAATTTTTTTCAACCAAGTTTGCAGTCTATTTATTCCAGTCCAACTCACTAATTATATGTCATCAACTTTTAATAGAACAGAGGTTGCTGGACATTTTTAAAAAGATAATTACTTGTTTATCAGCTCCTGTCATTCTAGTTTTATAAGCAAAATTAAAATGACACAGTAAACTCAGCAAGTGTTTTCCCAATTCTCTCTAGACATGTGAAGTCAGTACATGTTCAATCGCTGTTTTGTCATTTCTTTACTTCTGGGGCTTAGTTCTTTCCCTTTTCTTATTCTCATCAATACCCCTATTAGCAGGTGGGTTGGAAAGGAAGGAGATAAAATTCAAATGAGGTCATTTGGCTTGTTGCTCATTAGTTAGAGTCCTAAGAGACCAGTTTTCTGAGCTGAATTTGCTCCATGGTCCAGTTTGTGTTGAACGGATTTAACTTTGCTCCAAGGCTACAGGCTGCAACCATATCTCCTGCCAGATGTTTTTTGCACTTAGAGCTATGATCACAAGGGAGGACGAGGCCTGTGACCAGAGATGACTCAAGAAAATCCAGTCTCACTTCAAGAAAAACAAGTGGCTGGGACAATGTGGTAGGCATCTATTTTCAATGTCCTCTGATTAAAAAAAAATCAAACATGGGTACTTTTAATTTCTTGGGATAATCAAGGAAAAATGCAGGCCAAACTGTTTATTACCAAATTGAATGTCAGAGGCAGACTCTTGGGTTTTAAATCAAGGTGGTTCTGGATCAGAACCATTTATTTAAGTCATTTTTCCTGGTCTGGAGTTCTGGGAAACAGCTCTGAAACCCCAGTGTGATTCTGCAGCATGAGATACCAGAAGCAATCCCCTGTTGTGTTTTGTATTTCCCTGGGATCTATTGAATTAAGAAATCATTGTGATTGCATGGTCTTCTGGCCTGTCCCAGATGGTTTTAATCTGGTTAAACGAGGCACAGTTAAACCTTTACCTCCATAGGCAAGCAAAGATCACGTGTTCATCTATTCTTCTGCTTCTACATGAAATGCTTTGAGTAAATGGACATGTGCTCAACTTTAATGTTCATTTTGCAACAGAGAGATGTTCTGAATCGCATTGTTGGATAGCAGAAACTTGCTGGTGTGTCTGTAAGTCTGAATGTTGCCCTCAGTTATTCCAATCTATTTAACTACGTGATTCATGCTACAAATGAAATCAGGAAGCAACAGTGAAGCCATGGTGTTGTTCAATTCATTTGTTTTCTTAACCCGTGGGTTTTATTTCATGCATCAGTGTTTACATTACATACTTGCTGTGTGGAATAAAGGTTGAATAAATCATGACAGTTTGATTTTCAAAAAAAAAAAACACAAGTGGATGGATAAGTCTCTCTTACAATAAAAATTGTCCCACTTTGCACTTATTAACTTCTGGGACTAAAAGTCTGTTAGAAAATAAAGTGATACAGGTTTGGATGATGATTACTTATTGTACTTTCTCCCCTCTATCCTCTACTCAATGTCATTGAGGTCAAAACTAGTTGTGAGATTTTTGTAGAGAGCTCAGACTAAGAAAGTCTTTACTTTGTTGAAGTGGTTGAAAAAATTTTAAATAGTATTTCATGAGACATGAAAAATACATCAAACTCACAAAACGTTTTATTGGAATAGCTTGGCTACTTATTTATGTTTGTTTGTAGCTGCTTTGGGGTTACATAGGAAAGGCAAGTGATGGCAATCGACACTGCATGGTCCACAGAGATGGAAATATTCATTATCTGGACCTTTATACAATGTTTGCTACTCTCCTGCACACATTTTTTAAATTGTCAAGGTGATGTACAGAGGGGTTACAGTTACATAAGTAAGGTAATAAGTACATTTCTGGTCAAACTTGTTACTCCCTCCCTCATTTTTCTCCCACTTTCCCTCCCCACCCAATCCCCCGCCCCGCAAGTTGAACAGATCATTTCCAACATATTGTCTTATGAGTCTTATGCATTGGTTCCACTTGCCCTTTGTCTCACCATTCTGCTGTTCCCCTTCCCTTCCCTAATTCAGATACATGTATATACAATACCCAAATACAGTGATAACAGGGCATAACCCATAGGGGGAAGAACACACAAAAGAAACAAGAAATCACACAGTACATTAAAAACAACAACAAAGAAAAACCTCTTATATCTATGGCTTGGAGTTCATTTTGCTTAGCCTCATTTATATGGTCATAGCTATTGAGCTACTCTGCTCATCTGCTAAGATTATCCTAAATGTATACTAATTATTGCAAATAAGGGAAACCATGGACCTGTGTTTCTTTGGGTCTGGCTTACTTTACTTAATATGATTTTTTCCAAGTCTTTCCATTTCCTTACAAATGGGGAGGTGCCATTCTTTCTGATGGAAGCATGGAATTCCATCACACACACACACACACACACACACACACACACACACACACACACACACACACACATCTGTACCACATTTTCTTAATCCATTCATCTACTGAGGGGCATCTGGATTGGTTCTATATCTTAGCTATGGTGAATAATGCTGCGATAAACATAGTTGTGCTGGTAGCTTTAGTATAGCCTTGTTTGTGGTCATTTGGGTAAATGCCCAGAAGCCCCACACATTTTCTAATTCTACATAAACATTTCTGAAACCCTTACCACCTTAGATTTTATGTGTTTTTTCATTACTTTCCATTCATGCAGATTATTTTATTGCTCTTGAAATCATAAATTAGGGGTGTTGCTTACGTAATTTTTTCCTGTTTTTATAAAATTCTATGTGAGTTTCAGGCTTTTCAGAAGATCATAAAAAATAAGCGATAACATTATCTCTTCCAGATAGTTAACATTTTAATGTTGTGTGCATGGGGACTTAAAGTCCTACTGCGAGGTCTTTTTGATACTTTCTTGAATGTTAACATAAATACTTGTTGCTTTTGACCTATAATTGAAATGCTATTCCAAGAAAGAGGAATCAAGTCCATTTAAACCATATTAAGAGTAAATTCAAACTGTTAAATCCAGAAGAAAAGTCTCAGGAAATTATTGGCTAATATGTACAATGGTTTAAATCAATAACCATTCAAATACTCTCCAACTATTTGGGAGAATATTTGGTTTAAAGACATAGTTCTGCCAGGCTTCTAACCTTGAGCAGAGGTTATCTACCTCACTTCCTACTCTAACTAGAGCACACTGAAGCTCTGTCCTTTTATCAGGACAGAGTTGCTGGCCTCTTAATGAGGTGTCAGCATACATCAGGAAGCCTGAGTCTTTTGTCTGTGTACTTTCCTCATGCCTCCTCACTGAACATCCTCAGAGCTCTAAGGCACCCTGCCCTGGTGTGCTATGTTCCTGGGATGAAGAGAGGGCTGATTAGGAAACGTGGCTCAAGTGGTAGAGAACCAACCTTGTGTGGAAAAAGCCAAGTAAAAACACAAGGCTTTTGAGTTCAAGCTCCACGACTGGTACCAAAACACAAAACAAAAACAAATAAAAGGGAAGGGCTGGAGGCCTACTATTTAATTGTTTAAAGTGCTTTCAATACATCTTTTATTCTTTGGTAATTTCAATTAAACTGCAATTGAACCCAAAAATGATAAACCGTGAACTTACCAATATACACATCTCCTGATATGGTATAAATGAAACTTGTCCACCCTGGAAAGTGACATGCAATATTAAAAGGTTAGTGTCTATCATGCCAAAAATGAACACACGCATATATGCATACACACTGATTTATGTATAACAAAAGCAAAAGGAATATTTAGAGATTAAATCTTTTATTTCCCATTATATACATATTTAATGTTCCAGTTCTATGAGTTATTTACAATGTATACTTACATATTATCTTCCTATCTTTGTCTCTCTCTCTCTGACACACAGACACAAATACCCTCCTAATCACACGCACACTCTCTCTCCCTCCCTATCCTCTCTCCCACTCCTTCTGACATAACATAGACACAGACAGACACAGACACAGATACAAATACTCTCCTAAACCTAAATAGCTTGGGCCCCAACATTTAAGAGCTACTGCCTTTGGCCTCAAACCTATATACCAAAAATATATTAACAAATTATTTCTTCTAGTTCTCATATCATATTGTTATCTGTAGCATTCCAGTCTGGCTTTATCTTCAGTGTGTTGTACACGCAGGTAATCGGATGTGTGAGTAATGTTACAAACATGCTTTTGTATACATAGTTAAATTCTAGTTCCCAGTGAACTTATTCCTTTTTACCTACCCTAAAAGTAAAGCATGCATCAATTCTACAGATGCAAGAATGCAAAATCGTTGGGGGATTAATTGGCTTCAGATGGCCTATGAACTTTCTGGAATTGCTTGCACAATTTTTCAAGGAAAGGGGTATACATTATTCAGCTGATTCCTGTGGGTCATAGGGTCAAGAGCTCAGAGCCAGTGACAATATACCATTTACCCTACCCTTAATACCAGCTCTCTGAATTTCATGAATGTTTAGGTAGATGGTCTGTTTAAGAGATGGTCTGTTTCCCTTGAGAAGCATTAACCTAGAAATGGCAAGCTCAACGCAGAATGAGACTGATCACTCCATGTGCTAGAGTGGAAAGGGTATGGAAAGGGAGTGCAGGACATACATCATGGCTGGAGGTCAGGCCCTAGACAGAATCGGCATGAGCATCCATGGCATGATGAAAAGTAAACCAAAGTCATCCGGGCAGGAACGAAGAGCCCAAAAATGCACTCTATGGATGGGGTTGTGACCGTGGGTGGGTTGAAACACATGAATGGCACAAAAGAAAAGTTATCATTGAAAAATTGATCATTAATTGTGGAGTCTTGTGAAGAAGATCTAGAAGGATGGCTCAAGAAATACACTTGGGTGTTTGCCTAAGGATCTTTCTTTTTTTTTTTTTTTTGAGATTTCCAAAAGGTCTTTATTGTTACACTCTGTACCTTTGTCAGTTTGATATTCTTTTTTTTTTAATTTTATTTTATTTTATTTGAGAACATACTGTACAGAGGGGTTACAATTACATGGGCAGGATAATGCATACTTTTCTTACCAAACATTGCAGCCTCCTCCTTTGTTTACCCTTCACCTCCCTTCCCAGCCTCCCCCCTCCCCCCCACCACTAAGGATCTTTCTTCATCCCCTTATTCCATGGATTTTATGCTCTGAGATTTTACTCAGTAAGCCTTCTTATTTATTTATTTATTTACAGCATACTCACTTTTCTTAGCTCATCTAAGTCTTCTAAGCTTAGCATGGGACAATTTATCGAACCTCTAGGATAAACAGATTTTGTGTGGGGAGATAGGAAGATAGATAAGGCATAGACAAGGGTGTTCAAGACAAGAGTGTTCATGTTGTACAGCTTTGGGGAAGGAGAGTCATGGCAGATGCTGAAAACATACAGCAACAATGTAATCGTCTATTTCACAAGTCTTGCCTGGATGGGTTGTCGCTGTTAGTTCACTTCTTTCTCTGTTTTCTAATGTCTATGTTTTCTTTTCTTTTTTTTTTTTTTTTGGTCCGATCATGGGGCCTGAACTCTGGGCCTGGGCGCTGTCCCTCAGCCCTTCAGCTCAAGGCTAGCACTCTACCACTTGAGCCACAGTACCACTTCCGGCTTTTTTTTCCTGCTTATGTGGTGCTGAGGAATCGAACCCAGGGCCTCATGCATGCAAGGCAAGCACTCTACCACTGAGCCACCTTCCCAGCCCGTGTCTATGTTTTCTTCTGCCTATATAGCATGCTTTGTAGCTCTACTCTTTTTCAAAGTGCAAATGGCTTTAGTAATTTCTGATTATAGAAAAGTTGCACTTGATATTAAGGACACAGGAAACCATGACACATGGAAACTGAAAATATTTCAGCAGTCTTCTACTTACTCTGATATACACATTGTTAGCAATCTGGTATCTATGGGTTTAGAGTCTTTCTTTTTATTTATTTATTTATTTAAAGTATGTTTTTTATTGTAAAAATAGTGTACAGAGGGGTTACAGTTACCTGAATAAGGTAATGAGTACATTTCCTATTGATCATTGTTACCTCCTCCTTTGGTTTTCCCTTACCATCCCCTCCCTCCCAACCTCCCCAACTCTTCCCTCCCTCTCCTCCACAAATTGTAAAGTCCATTTTCAACATAGTGTCTTGTACATCTCATTTTTACAATGGGTCAACCTATATCCCTATGAGTCTTTTCTTTTATATACTATACAATATTTGTTTAAAACCCAGAATAAACTCAGTGTTCTGAATTTTCTGTGGAGCAGTAATTCCTCCTTAGGAAAGACTGCATGGCAATCCATTGTAAGGGTGAGTTATTCTTCATACAACTAATCCCCTCTTCATAGATTCAAGCTACTAAAAATTATTTCCCATCTGACAAAACCTCAAAGCGTTAAGTTGCTTGGGTGAGTTTTTACTTTGTATCATGCTAAGTGTTCTAATCTCATCGCTCCTGTACCTTCTTTTTTTCCTGTACCTTCTTTGCCTCCTACTTTACCATAAATTAAGAAGATATGGGAATGTTGCTTAAGTCTGTTTTCTTTCTCTTTAAAAATATTTTTTACAGGGGATGGTAGGGGGAAAACAATGGAGGGGGTAAAAATGTTCAAGAGGAAGTGTACTCATAACCTCACTCATGTAACTGTGACCCTCTGTATAGTAGCTTTACAATAAAAAAAAAAAAAAAAAGGAAAAAAAAAAAAAAAACAGAAAAAAAAAAAAAAATATTTTTTACAATATCCCGAAGGACCAGACATTTGCTTAAAGATGCAACCAAGTTAGTTTCTTAAGTGCATTGATCTATTTCCATTCCTTCTTAAAGTATTTTATGTAACTGTTAGTTACAACCAATTTATGTTACTGATTGAAAAGCACAATATTAGAAGTAATGGAAAAATTTCCTTTTAATCCTCCTTTTAGCATGATGCTCATCTGCACTTGCTTCTATGAGCCTTGTTTGAATTCCATTAGGCATTGTTTCTTAAGGATTTCAAAAAATGCCAACCTCTGTGAATATATATTATGTGCTTAAGCACAAGCAGTTCTGTTAAAAGTAGGACTATGTCAGCCAAAGGATCTTTTCCTCTCCCTTACATGACCTACACCATAAAATAATGCCATTATGCAATTTTTATTTTTTTAATTTTTATTTATTTTTTGTCAGTCATGGAACTTGAACTCTGGGCCTGGGCACTGCCCCTGAACTCTTCAGTTTAAGGCAAGTGCTCTACCACTTGAGCCACAGCACCACTTCTGGTTTTCTGGTGGTTCATTGGAAATAAGAGTCTCAAGGACTTTCCTACCTGGGCTGGCTTTGAACTGTGATCCTCAGATCTCAGCCTCCTGAATAGCTAGGATGACAGGCGTGAGCCATAGGCACGCGGCCCATTCTGCAATGTCTATTGCTTTGTTAGAGGTCACATGCTCTACATTTGCTTTCTACATATATGATTGTCAAGCTACTGTTTTTTTGCATCTCAGAAGCTCTCCTATTCCCTTGGGCAATAACAAATACAAGAGTTGCGTTGAATGGCATTCATTTCTTCTGCTCTTTCCTCTAGGACAGTTAAGTTACCCAGAGATGTCAGATTCCTTTAAAAAAAAAAAAAAAGAACACATGCTCCTTTTAAATACGTAAATCATTTTCTGTGGCATCTGCACACATTTCCAAGGAGGTTCCTAACTCTTTCAAACATCCCTAGGGACAGTTTACTTCAGCCTACATTCCTTGGCCTAATCCAAAGAATTTTCTTCCTATCTCAATCTTAGAGTTGATTGCTTCAATGAATTTTTCATGTATCCTTTATACATGTGTATGGACAGGAAGTAATAGAAACACATGACCTGGTGACACACCAGATATATAACACTTCAGCTTTGGGGAGGAAAGGAGAAAGGGCAATAGAGCTAAGAAAGGAATGTACCTCTCTCCAAATTCTGGATTACATTGGCTTCCAGATCTTAAAGCAAGCCAGGTTCCTAATGGCCTGCTTGGAGGTCCTTGCATCTGGACTCACTATGTACCTAATGTGTGGCTTCTCGGTCCTCTTTTTCCCCTTCTCCTTACATCAAATTATTTTTCTTTATTTTTTAAAAATTTGTTCCAGTCTTGAGGGTTGAACTCAGGGCCTAGGCACTGTCCTTAAGCTTCTTTTGATCAAGTCTTGTACTCTATCACTTGAGCCAAAGTTCACTCCTGGCTTTTTGGTAGCTAATTAAAGAGTCTCAAAAACTGTCCTGCCTAAGCTGGCTTCTATCTGTGATCCTCAGATCTCAGCCTCTTAAAGTAGCTAGGATTACAGGTGTGAGCCACCAGCACCCAGCTATTTTATTTTGAAAAAAAAAAATCTGATGTAAGGAAAACCTTAAATATCCTACAGAAAATTCCTATACACCATCCACCCAGATTCCCTTGAAGCACTACTACATTTGTAATTTTTCTCTATAAATATGCCATTGTTCTTACTGAAATATTTTAGAGTAACTTGCAAACAGGATGCATCTTATCCTGAAATGATTTTCTATATTGACTTACTAGAACACTTGCTTTAAGAAACATAGCACTCTTATATCTTTCAATGGCTTCCTGATCTCCCATGCAAACTACAACTCCTGACCCTGGCAGATACTTTTCTCAATTGGGTCTTAGACATTTTCTCCAATCTCAGTGAGCATCCTTGTCAGATCAGGGTTAGGATGACTGTGACACTTTGACTATAACCTGGTAATTATATCTGAGCCAGAGGACACAGCTAGGTTATAAGACACTGTGAGATAATACATCTGGTATTAAAAGAGACTAAGTTCTAGGGGTAATTTGTTATAGAGCCAAACAGCTACCTAGCACAATAAGATTTGTGTAAATATATCCTAAGGTGATTTACCAAGTAGCTCCTGTGCAATATTAGCTGCTGTGCAATATTAAAAATCTACTTTGAAAATCAAATGAGGAAGACATGGCTCTTTTTTATTTTGTAACAAAATGAAACATATTTTCAAATTATAGTTGAAGCAAACATAAATTGACCATACATAAGAGGATATATTAGTTTCCTATTACTGTGACAATAAACCACACTCACATTGTTCTACATCTATTGTCATATGTCCTTCTCCCACTATGACTCTACCCCCTTTCTCGTGCATACTCATGATGACATTATGCCACCTCAATAATCCAGGCTACTCTCTTGTTATTTGTTTTCAGCCACTGTAACATAATACCTGAGATAGTCAAGCTACAAAAGGGAAGGGCCAATTTGCCATGTTGCCTTTGGGGTTATGGTGAGTTACTACATCATAGGGGAGCACATGGCCAAGAAAGCTGTTCATCTTATGGTAGCTGGAAAGGAAAACAACAGGAAAAAGTGAACAGCCAAACTCTGCTATCCCCTGGAGGGCTGTACCTCTACCTCGTTTCTAACAGTTTCCCAGAGCACCACAAGCTGGTGAGCAATCTTGTAAGACAAGGACCTGCGGGTGACATCCATGATCCAAATCCTCACTCTCTCTATCTCAAGAGCCCTAACTTAAATATAGCCCCCAAATCCCTTCTACTATATAACATATTAGAAGGCGCTGGGGATTAAGACATGAACATCTTTTACTCTACCTACCAAAGAGGGGTAGATTATATATTCTCTAAAGAAATTTTGTTATTGATTTACATATACTATAAGGAAATTTATAAGGAAAGTGAACCCAAAGGCTCACAGAATCAAACTTTTTCCATGTTGTAACAGTTCTCCATTTTTTATGCTGGTCCTGGGGCTTGAACTCAGCTCTGGCACTGCTTCTGAACTTCTTTGGCTCAAAGCTAGCACTCTATCACTTGAGCCATTGTTCTACTTCCGTTTTGTTTTGTGGTTTATTGGAGTTAAAAGTCTCATCAACTTTTCTGCCCAGGCTGTCATTGAACCACATTTCTCAGATCTCAGCCTCCTGAGTAGCCAGGATTACAGGCATGAGCCACTAGTACCTGGCTAACAGTTCTCAATTTTTAACATTCCAAATCATGGTTTAAATTACCCAGAAACAGATGTTCTTAGGGATAAGATGGAGAAAATGAACCAAGTGGCCATGGAAGAACAAAGTTTGATGTAGCCAGTCAGAAGAAAAAGGGGACACAAGGACTAGAAGGCAAAAGTTTCTTGGAAAGGGTCGCTAATTTCTTAGAAATACAGATTTATGGCCTTCACAATGAATGATAACAGTGTAATCTGTACATCAATTTACATCAATTTACACCAAGAAAAATCAGATTGCACTGCAATAGATGGCAAAGGTCACTGCAAAAAATAAAGCAACAAATTGTACTCTTATTTTAGCCAAGAGCTAATATGAAAAACGTGTTGGCCAATGTGAAAGGAATCCGGTACTGTCAGAAACTCGACAAATTGGATTCTTTGTAAATGATGCACTGTCCAGCTCAATTCCTGGTATCAACTAACTTCCAAATCACCACAGCATGAAACATCTGTTCTCTGCAAGATTTGTACAACCCAGCGGAAACGTGCCTAGCCCTCAGGAAAGAAGGAAATGGTAAAAATCGATTCTAATACTATTTATAGGAAAGAATTCAGATAAAACCTATTCTGATTCATGAAGAATGTTTTCAGCCTCCCCTAATTGGATTTCCCCTAGGACATAGGCATTTTCTTGGTATCACAGGTAGGATAGAAGTAGTGTATGCCTCTATGTGTAGTTCATTAGTCTGGTAATAATATAACCCAGTCAACATTGAATTAGACTGCAAAGTTTATGCCAAAAGACAAACAATACCCAGATATCTATGTCAAGTCCCTTTACCATGAATAACAAAAACATTAAAATATTATACACAAATGATCTCCAGGACCCAGCCAGTGGTCTGCACATTTCAAGAAATACTGATGCAATAAAGCATCCAAGTCAAATGAATCTAGTCCTTGGAGTCTGTGTTGGAATTTGACCTAAAAAGCAGTCTAAAATAAAGGTAAGTGATGACCTTCATTTCAATGACTTCATATTGTACAGCATAAGTTACATCTACTACATCTGAATATAGGTGGCCAAGATTGTGGAATCTTCAAATAATAAGAGCTCTTTAATACTTCATTGCTTGTCATGCATTAAACAGGGACATCTTAAATTCTGAATGGGCCACTTAGCTCAATGGAAGCATAGAGGTGGGGGATTGAGGGGTTGAACATGAGAGAGAGAGAGAGAGAGAGAGAGAGAGAGAGTGAGAGAGAAGAAGGATTTGAGAGACTAAAGCAAGAACTCAATGTAACAAAGTTCTTACACAGCTGCATAGCTGGGTATTTGACAGACATATACACAGTGCTTTTACTCAATATTAAACATGCACATCTAAATGTTCGAAAACAAACAGGCTTGAAATCAGTAGCAAAACTGGGTGCAGAGGCGCAAGCCTTTAATCTCAACTAGTTAGGAGGTAGAGATCAGAAGGATCAAGGTTCAAGGCCAATGGAGTGAGGAAAATAGTGACACCCTCCTTCTCAACAACTAAGCAAGATATGATGGCACATATACCTGTGATCCTATCTACTTGGAAGGCCCTAGGTAGGAGGATCATGGTCTGGGAATGGCCAAGAATTAAGCGTTAAGACTATCTGAAAAATAACTATAGCAAAAAAGGGGTTGGGGATATGTCTCAAGTGGTAGAGTGCCTACCTAGCAAGGTTGAGGTCCTGAGTCCAAACTCTAATACCACAAAAAACATATTTATAATGACAAAATAAAATGCCATCACAGGTTTGCAAACGGACACATACACATTCTCCTATGAGATAATATGGTAATGTCTAAGAGTAGAGCAAACATCAACCTGATCACACACTTCCTGTTGGTGGGGTCATAGAAAAACTGTTCTTTTATACATTGTTGATAGAAAGTGTAACTGCCTCTTGGATTGCAGCTCCTCTATATATTTTTACTTTTATTTACTTTATTTTTATAGGATTGAAGATTAAAACCAGGGCCCAGTGATTGCCACACAATTATGCTATCATTTCAACCATATGTCATCCATTTTCTTTTTGTTTTTGTGCTGATGCTGGGAATTAAACTCAGCTGGGGCACTGAGCTTTTCCACTCGTGGATGGTACTCTACCACTTGAGTCACAGCTCTCTCTACTTTTTTTTGTCAGTCACGAGTCTTAAGCTCTGGGCCTGGGCGCTTTCCCTCAGCTCTTCAGCTCAAGGCAAGCACTCTACAACTTGAACCACAGCACTACTTTTTACTTGTGGCTTTTTGCTGTTTAACTGGAGATCAAAGTCTCACAGACTTTTCTGCCCAGTTGTATCTCACTCAAGTATAAATTTTTCTAAAGTAAGCAAGAAAAAAAAAGGAATTAACTGAGCCAGAAAGTCAGAAAACAAGGGGCATTTTACTTATTGTACCTCATCAGGTGAGGTGGCCTTTAGCCAGAAAGAAATCTTTTGGACCTTAGCGTTTACACTAGTAAATAGAAATATGGCCCCAAAAGTCAGGCTCTGTGTTCTATGAATTCCTGATTTTCTTGACAGACCCCAGCTATATTTACTAATTTAAACATACTCAAACATAAAGTTACTAGAAATTTGTGCTGTTTGGAAACAATCACATGCCCAAGATAGTGGTCCCTTCTTTTTTTGTGTGTGTGTGGCATTTTTGTTGGTTTGTTTTCATCTTTTCCCCATTACATGATTACTACATTCCGGAATCTGTCATACCTTTAGGAATGGGTTGAGAATGCTTTGCTCCTTGGTCCAATTTGAAGTCCAAATATAAGGTTGGTGTGCGAGTGTAAACCTTAGACTGAAAACAGAAAAAGAAAACCATCAGCATTTTTGTAAGAATAGGGTTGGGCTTTTTGTTGTGGTGTTTTTGTTTTTGTGGGGTATTTTGGTGCTGATACTGTGGCTTAAACTCAGGGCCTAGGTGCTGTCCTTGAGCCACAGCTCCACTTCTGGCTTTTTGGTGGCTAATTGAAAATGCCAGAGTTGGCTTTGAACCACAATCCTCAGATCTCAGCCTCTTGAGCAGCTAGAATTATAGGTGTGAGCCACCAATCCACTGGTACCCTGCCAGGATAAGGTTTCTTTACTTCAGCTGGGCCCTTCTGCAATAGCCTCAGGTCTGGATAGTTGAAGTTCCTGGGTGTGGATCCTGGATATTTGAAGTTCCCCTTAGCTTTACAAAATGGTTGAACAAGGCAATTTCAGGATGGCAGTGAGTTTCCTATAGCCATTTCTTTAGATGGGCCCAAGGTTAATATTCTATTGGCCAGCAGCTGCTTCACCTCACACTTGACATGTAAGTGGCTCTTACACTTGACCTTGTAGGTTATCTCACATCCAAATGGCTATTTCTTTTCCCAGCACTCATAAAGCCCATTTTCATTTTGAAACTCAAAAAAGTGACCTGTCTGTATCTACTTCTCACTTGACCCTCTTGGAAAACAAATACAAAACCCACAAAACCAAAAAAACCAAACGTGGTCTGTCATTGCTGGCTTGCAAAAGCCCCAACTCCAAACAGAACAAAGACAGCCTCTGCAGGATTTTCCACTGTAAACAGTGGCTTTGATTCCAGCCACAGTTAAGCAGAGCTTGTAATTCAATATAATGTCATCCCGATCAAAATCCAAGGGATTAACACTGTTGCTATAAACTCTATGTCTCATTGTTTATCACAAAGCCCCAGTGGGTCTCTTACAAAATTAAGAAGAGTGAGGGAAGGGGGGAAGTAGGGGAGGGATGGATGGATGACAATGTTGACAGGGGTGACTCTGATCAAGATGCATTGTATTCATAAACTAGTTGTTAAATGGCAACTCCTTGTACAAATACTTGAAGATAATAAAAGTATTTAAAAATAAAACAAAAAAATTGACTATGAAAATGGAAGCATGGAACATTGGGCTTGCAAGAATATAGAGTAGCAAGAACTTTCATACACTGCTGGTGAGACTCTAAATTGGTGTAAATAATTAGAAAAACTTTGGTGGTATGTACTGCAAATGAATATATGCTTAACCTTTGACCCAATAATCCAACTGTTAAGTGTATTCCCAACAGCATGCTTGCCTAAAGACATATACAAGAATTTGAGTAGTAGAACTTGTGGATAATAGCCATGAATTGAAAATGTCCTAATTGTCTAAAACAGTAGAAGAGACAAATGAAATGTAATACACATTTCCAGATGAATAGTATATGGCAAGGAAAGTAAACCAATTACGTTAACAACTCAGAGGAATCTCATAAGCATTATACTGAGCAATAAAGGCAATTTTATTTTCTACAAAATTCAGAGCAGGACAAAATTGAGCTAGGATACCAGAAGTCAGAAAAGCAGTTACCTTGGGAACATGAAATTAATTATAAAGTTGTTTTGAGGGAATCTGGTAACATTCTGTTGCTTGGTCAGGCTGCTGGTTTCATGTGTGTATACACTTGGTGAAAACTCTCTGAGCGGTACAAACGATTTGTGCATTTTTCCGTATTTATACCATATTTTAATAAAAGCCTTACATCAGAAACATAAATAGACAAAAAATATCCAGAGACAAGAGTTGTTCATTATCCTTGATAAGGACATGATTTTGTACAGAAACACTATTATGTAAACACCATGAAGACAGGGACATTTCTACCTCTTTTTGTCATTGAGTCCCTGAGCCAACCTAAAGTGTCAATCACAGAGTAGAAGATCCTTTTTTTTTTTCTGGTCCTCGGGCTTGAACTCAGGGTCTGGGCGCTGTCCCTGAGCTTCTGTTGCTCAAAGCTAGTGCTCTATTACGTGATCCACAGCTATACTTCCAGCTTTTTGTGGTTAACTAGAGATAAAAGTCTCATGGACTTTTCCTGCCCAGGCTGGCTTTGAACCACAATCCTCATATCTCATCCTCCTGACTAGTTAAGATTACAGGTATGAGCCACTGGCACCCAGTGACAAGTTCCAATTTTTTTTTTACTGAATTATGTCGAATCATGGAAAATCTTGTGTCGAATCATGCATATATTGACTAGCTGTATAAGATATTCATCAACATATTCACATATATGATCAAAATATTTGTCTTCAGAATAAGTAAACCTGGTATGGTCCAAGTGTGTGTCTGTATGTTAAATTAGAATTATAAATAATGTTGACTCTCAAAGGAACTCTTCCTATGGAAGATTTTGGTAATAAGATGTTCTGGTAGATGGGTTTACATGGCATAGAATGTCAAGCTACAGCTTCAAAGACTAGAAAAACCAATCCTCCTGTGAATACATAAATGAAACCAGAAGAACCTGTACCATCAATTCAACCTGAGGCCAAAGATTCACAATCAATCTCAAGGATTTGAAGCATACATGAACCAAGGGCAGCACATGAGGGACACAGGATCTGATTCTCTAGGATCATTAGGTGTGTTTAAAGCACCATCTAGAAAGAGATTGCTTTCATCTGATGAAAACTTCTAATGTTACCTCTGAAAAAGATCAAGGGTAAACTTCCCATAGTATCAGATGACTTTGCTGTTTGGCAAATATTGAGCTCTTGCAGATAAACGATTCCTGTTTGGCTTACATCTTTCCCAACCTCTTACCTCTGTGGCAGATTCAGTAGCTCTGCCTATAGCAAAGACATTAATCACAAGAAAGTGCTCAGCTTCATTTTTATTAGTAGTCTCCCAGAATGTGGACATAAAAAATAATCTTGAAGTAGAAACCAGGACTATTTGATCTCCTAAATTCTCCTTCTGGTGACTGGCTGGCCCTTATCTTCCTTCTTCTGGGTTTAGTTCACACATCTGAGACTCTTGTGGGGAGACTTGTGGATATTTTTGTCTATGTTTGGTTTGAAGTTCTGACTCATAAAATTAATGTGTTCATCTATAACTCTAATTTTTAAAATTCTCTTCTGGTTTCTCAGCCTAGAGCTCTAGAGAAGGGAGCACGTGGCTGGAGGAAGCGTGGGCTTCTAGAGCTGTGGGGAATTAGCAGGCAGCCAATGTCTGACTGATTCTATTCTTGTCCTCAATTCCACTCACCAATCTTGTCCTCTTCCTTTTCTACTGCTCTTCCTGCTTTTAGCTTGTAACTTAATCACTGTTATCCAAAAAATGATCATCTACCCCTCTAAGACTATAATGACATGGACACACATGCATCTGTACACACCTACACGCAGGCAAACACACAGAGAATTCTGTACCCATTTTACGAATTCATTTGAAAAACTTGAACAGAAAATAATGAGAGACGTTAGAAAGTGTCAAATGCATCCTTACAGTATAAAGAGGGCTGAGAAAAATTTTAACTCATTTTGAGCTGTGTTCTGACAAGTCTAGTATCCAACAATTCTGATTAACAAGTGATCTTTTTGTGTTTCAAAGGCTTTCAACATAATGTATCTTGGATAACCAACTCTTAATATATAGTACTGCACTTCAATTATTGTATAATGAGATAAAATTCAACTGGAAGCTGTTCTCATGAGTGTATGTAGGTGAATGTGTGTATACGTCTATACGGATTAGTTTTTGAAAAGCAGCTAGGATTTGTTTCTACTAATTTTGATTTTCCATGCCAACTCTGATGAAATGGTTAATGTAAATTATACTCATTTAAGTCAAAGATGATAACACTCAGATGCACTTTGAGCAAAGCTAGATTAATTTTTCTATCACACACTGCTGATTTTCTAGCAAGAAGAAAATCACCACTAGGCCTATTTTTTTTCCTGTGTTCTGTTTTGCTTATTGTTATATATGATATTAAACTATTGATTGATATTCAAGTTGTAATCAGAACTTAACCAAACATCTTTTTTAGTTAAAAGTTAGCTATTGTAATCCAAAGAACTACAATAAATTGCCCATGTAATAAAACATTCCTTCGTAAATATGTTTCCACACAGACAGTACTAATGTATTTAAATTCCATCCATGAAATTGTTTTCATTATCCTTTGCTCTGTTTTGATCCTGATTAATAATGCTTACAGAGCTACTAAAATCCAAAGCTACTCATCTCCTCTCTCTTCCCCATTGCACAATTCAATTCGAAATATCTGTGAAACTTTCCTTTAAAGGGAATAGCCTACATTTGAAAAGCCCGATGGCTTAAGTCTTATGGTCCAAGTATCACACAAAAGAAGCTTCTAGAACTTAGGTAATATAACTCTTCCTAAGAGGTTAAGGGTAAATTTTCCTAGGGGGCTGCCAAACGCAGAGGAACATTGTCTCTCTTCTATAAACATGTCAAAACATAATGAGTCTCAGACACCACTCCAATAATGACCACAAAATATCCAAGACAAAAGAAGGTCTATAAAACCACTTCCTTCCATATCCCAACTACCTTCATCTGAGGTCCTTCAAAGCCTTCCCACATACCCTGGCTTTTGGTACGATACCCTTGTCAAACTGGCTTCCTTCCTCTGCTTTTATTCATAAAAGTGATATTAATTAGGAGATGAAATTACTTCCACATGGAAGCCATATGGCTACAAAACATCTTCTCGAGAAAAGAGAATACATGAGTATTCTGGTATACACGGGTATACACAAGTGTGCGAAAGAGACTAGCTTTCATTTTGCCACCGCTCCCCATCTATCCCTGCATACACCAGCTTTTAGCGCCAAGCTCATTCTTCCCTGAAAACAAGTGGCAGTGATTTAGTGTCACATGTCAGAGTGTAATACATATTTTCTCACATGTGGGTGTGGGGAGGAATGATTTCACAAACTGAGTTAGTGAGTTTTCAGGAAATGCACTCATTTTCAATCATAGTATAATATGTGCTTAAGCAAATTACTAATAA